TAAAATTATAAAATATTGGAGCTGTCATCTGTTTCACATTTAGCGTATCCAGCATCACTTATAACCTGCACGATACAAAATCTGCAAATCTCTTGTCCAGCACACCCCTACACCATTGTTCTGCAATTGAATGATGAATCATTTATCGGCTTCTTCTTGACAACTAGACAAAAGCATGCAATTGTCCCACAATTGTCCCACATATTATAATTGTCCCATATATAGTGACCTCCTTATCTCCCTCGTCAGGGTTAGATCCGGATAATTAGCGATGTAAAGAGAATCATGAACTTGGACAGATGCACCTTAAAGGGCTCCAACGTCCAAGCATCGGTAATGAAAGCAAATGATCTAGCATTTATAAAATTTGGCTTACGTCGATCGATAGACATCTATACTAGATGAATATTTAACATGAGGCAACCAAATGTAAATTAAAGGAGAGTAGATTGGGTGGGTTGATAAATATATTCACAGTGTGTATTGTGTAAGGCTACAAGCCTCCTCCAACCCCGCTAATCTACTTCGTCTATTGTGGATAAGAGTCCAAGCTCTTGTTGCTGCTCCTCTGCTACAACACTAACCATTAGGTGGTGGTCTGATTAACCGCGCCCACGTGCATACTCCCAAAGGTATTAGGGAGGCAATATAAGGCTTTTGTTTGTCACTCAGTGTGAACGTTGCAAGGCATTCGCCTGCCTGTTTTCTTGGTATCTCGCAAAGATAGTAGTCAAATTCCTTGGATCTGTGACCTGTGTAATCAATTAGAGGTCCGAATAAATTACCAAAGTTTCTGTTTTGTGAGCCACGTTGTGTGCTGAAGAAGACTAAGCTAGCTACGAGTTGGTATGAGCTCCAGATACGTGGGAGGATTGAACTGGAGACCTCAGAAGAAGAATTCCCTCCAACAGCTGTGTCTATCTCACTGTTTATCACTTGTGGTGAGAACATGATATTACATTTTCTCCCAACTCATCGAAATATTCTTAGTTTCTCGGATTTACAAATTTTGGGTATCATTAGTTAAAAATAGCCATGCTGATCTCAGAACACACACTCACAGGCATAATTCTCGAAAATCTTGGATTCCTGAGTTAGATCGTGCAGGACTGGTGGCCTAAAAGTAAAATCTGTTCTAAATTAGGATTAGGCCACTCGTCCATTTTTTTAATATACCTAGGTAGGCCAATAGTTCAGTTAGGCCACTAGCCTCTAGTTTAAGTAAGGTCACCAGACCGAGTACTGCGTCCAAGTTTTATAAAAGAATATTTGGTTGTTTGAAGTCTATAACTGATCACCGCAGCGAAACTTGCCAAATTTTCAATTTTTTAAATAACAAATTAGCGTTATTGTCTAGTACGCGCTACATGTTAAACGGATGTTTTTTGAGGTGGTGATTAGTGCTGAACCCTTATACTCGGTTCACATCAGCACTTTCAAACGGGGTAAAACTCAACTCATCGTTTATAGTGTTACCAACTTGTTTTCGCTCTTTCAGCTGGTCTTGTTTTCAACAGCCGGCTTTTTAGCCTTTATAGTTATACGTTTCCAAGAAAAGTTTTTGAACACACCATCGAACATAAATCGTTTTGTTAACACTTACCGGTTGTCCCAGTTCTGAGGTTCAACTCATGAAATCTGGAAAATATTTGTATGTAGTTCAACTACATGCAAATATTTCCCAGGTTTTAACCTAAAAAACTGGAACCAATAATTCCACTGTTCAAGTCATTCATGTGGCACGGCTACACTTGTTCACGTGTGTCTTTGCAAGAGTTACCATCTCGTCTAGACGGCATTGCAGTAGTGTAATTATTTTATTGATTGATTTCTTTGTTTCTTCATTTTTTAATAATTTCTTTCTTTCTCTCATCTGAACAATGTATAGTTGGTACACTTTGATAAAGTTATCAGCGTCTATTTCAATTAATTGATGGGAATATACTGAGTACTGACATGAAATTGTTTGACAACTCCAAACCACCTAGTCATTCTGGCGAAGTTAAATCAGTTAAGTTCTTGCTTCTTCCATTGAATGGGCCTATAAATAGACATTAACCCGAAATCGTTAGCAACTGTATAATACAGCTGTTTAATTGGGAATGATTATCCAATTATTACTGATTAATTAACATATAACTGGTGGTATACTGCGATCCGGAAGCATTTACTCCACCTCAACGACTGCATGAACAAGTCCCGCGTTATTCTCCTTTTTATTTTGTGTGTTGTTTAAACCGGTCTAATATGCCCATATATGGTATTGGGCGACTGACGTGCAGCTGATGTGACATTTATAAATTCGTTTTTATAGGCCCGTTTGCTCGTTAACTCAAACTGTTACAAAGTTAAAAACTGAATTATCGTCTCCAGTGTTATCAGCTTTTATAAGTTACTATTTCGCGGCTGTTAACTAATTTGCAGTTGCTATGCATACGCTTAATAATATATTTTATGTTTAAGTTAAACATAAAATATAAGCAGCTTGTAATGAAATTATTTGTTTTCTGGTTCTAATGTTCCATTATTCTTTCCTAAACGCTTTTTGATGACCAGCTTTGTTCTATAGCGTTTTTTTCGGGTTGATTATTGACAAATGCTACAGCAAAAAAGCGAGTGATGTCATCAACCAGATAATAACCAGTCCTCCTGCAGTTTTATCAGAACGTTTAGAGCCTTAGTAATAGCAGGACAAGGCGCTTTTTTCATGTTAATTGTTAGTTTAAAAGACGTTCCGTGAAGGATAGCAATACACCATGTCTATATAGTGTTGCTTATCTGGTTTTGTCTTTGTTTTGTCTTTTTTTTGGTCTTTTTTTTGTCTTTGTTTTGTCTTTGTTTTGTCTCTCTCATAGGAATATAATCAGGCACATCTTCTTAATTATAATCTATAAATTTTCCGCAAATAACAGTGCAAAATACCTAACAGTACACATCGCCTTTGCTATGACGTCACATCACACGGTGTGAAGAAATTGCAATCAGTCAAAACCTTGTTTAAAGTTTTACCGGTGGATATTTTTTGGCTTCTCCAAAACACATGCAAAACTCCTTTTTGTGTCATCACTACTCAATACTCAGATCCCATATGCCAATGTGTCTGTATTGCATATAACTATAACTTATAAGTCAGAATAGATGTATTTCTAACCTTTAGTTTGAAAATATTTGGCACTCCTGCTACATAAAATGCTCTCATGTCTATCCGTGTCTTGCACTGCTGTAATGTACCCTGGAGTTCATTGTCAGTATTCTTTAAAAGGTATGATAGCGACTAGAAGTTGTCCTGATCTCGATTTGCAAAGGAATTACTCGCCTCGTGGTGGAAAATATTTCAGAGAGTTAAGCGTACAGTGATTGAATGATTCTTGTTGTCCGTCTTTTGGCTTTTTCGTTGCATACTTAGCGGAGATCAGCCGCGGTTGCTTTTCATCACGGATTATTTTATCGATCTTCTTCTTTGCAGTTTACCGACAATCAAGTCGACCATCTCTAACGGAAATGATATGATATTCAGCACAATTTGTCAATGCATTTACAGGGTTTTGGTAGGCTGTAATCCGGTGTGGAGTTAAGATGCCTTAATAAGTTAATAGGAGGATTACGAGAATTTCAACAGAAGCATACCTTGTTTTGTTGAATTTTACCATAAAATGCTGCAGCGAATTTTTAGTGGCAATAACAAACTTTATTGTCGGGGTTTTGTTTGCTTGCCAAAGCAAATTTCAGAGAATTTTATTGTTCATTCTGCGTTTCAATCATGGCTCAGGTTTTTTCTCGAAATTTTTCGAATCAACAACAATCGTCTCCAGCATCCACGTTATGTCTGACCAAGAATTTCTGATAAGATGTTTCTATAATGTTTGAACTTATTTTTTACTCCATTCCAACTCATTTTCATGTGATTCTGATCACTGAAGCTGGCTTTAACGGTGTTAAAAACCTCCCTTTTGACTGAGGCCGGATGGTACGGCGCCTAATAAGCATGGATTTAAAAGAAGGGGTTCACGGACCCTCTGCATATATTTCTGCGTGGCCTCTAACTATAATTATATTCAAACAAACCCTAGTGGGAGACGTCAATAAGTTTATAAATTATCCGAGGAATTTTGGCAGAGACAAAGGCGTGCAATCCTATATTTCATACCTTATTCAGGTTTATCATGTCTAGTCGATATTTAAGTTCAGATCATTGACACAATCTTAGACTGTTGTTTGCCAAGATGCAAGTAGTCAAACCGGCTCTGCAACTAGCCTACAAAATTATCTAGCTTTCAGGTGATCCACATATTTTGTTACGCTGATATTTTTGCGTTTATTTACTATCGATCATGATTTGATGCAAGTCAGTACAATGAACCAATAACCTTATAGTAGTATAGCAGTAAATCATTCAAACCATACAATTTTCTCGGTTTGGCTGAGGGCCAACCATGCGATCGCTTTGTTATATCATCTTTGAACCAGTCCCATTATTATAGATTATCAAAGCTTTTCATTTAGAAGTGAAACAAAGCCTTAATGTTATCGTTTCAAGTTCGCATAATTAGGGAAACTAGAAAACGTGATAAAACTGAAAGTAAGGAAAACAACGATTCTCAAAACATTTTATTAGTTAATTAGTTAATTGGACACTGTAAAATAAAGAACAACTCCCTTGCTCTGAAATCACTCAGCACTTAGATTTACAAATTAGATTAAATTTACATAGGACTGTCAATGCATTCATCTCAGATTCTCCGAGCTGAGTTGGGATTGGATTTGTCCGCCTTTATTCATACAATTTGGCGCAGAGAAATGACTTGAACAGTATTATATTCCGTGATGGTGAGTCAAATCAATGTGATCTAGATTATCCTTATCGGAGCATGGCAGGTGTGTATGTGTTGTAAGCAGCACGTGTCCCCGACATTTATAGGATTGATGCATTCAAATCTCGAAGTTGCATAGCAGACAGCAGTACAAATAAAGAACGTAATGTATACATTTCTAATTTCTAATTTTTAATTTCTACAGCTGTATACACTGATCTATGTGCTGAGGTACTAAGAAGCGTCTAAATATATTTCAAGTTCGTGAGTGTGCTATTTTTGACCAATTCTTAGTTTCTCTTTGAGCTAGCTCAATCATCAATGCCGTTGACTTTTTCAATTTTGCTTGCTTCAAAATTGAATGTGATATAGGCACATGTAAGCAAAATGCTGCGATGACTGAAAACCTACTGAGATTTGTAAGATCCGACTACCATTTATATTTTATTTGTATTTTTGTAGGATTAGCAGTTCTCGGTCCTTATCCAAACTTGAGAAGTTCGTTGAATCATGCACCGTTGTATTCCTCAGTTCAGAAGTGACCACAGTCCAAAAGATTTGTTCATTGACATTATAAAGGCGAAAAGGGCAAGCTATCTGCATTATTCGTGCTTACTATAACTGGGCTAATGGTCTTCCAAATCTTTCAGAAGCCGTGATATAGTCAATTGTCCTTTTCTAATATTAAATGTCCACATTGAAAAGCAAAGACCGCAAGTCGAGACACACAATTTCATATTCGTTACTTGAATAAATTAATAACTTAATAAGTAGGTAATCGACTTCAAGCTATCTGCATCATTCGTGGTTACTACGATTGGTTTAATGACCTTCAAACTCCTTCAGAAGCCGATATATACACCTTGATTAGATAAATAACGCTGATCAAAAATCATGCTTTTATTTTTTGTTTAAATTTGCATGCTGAGCAGAGCATTTCGTTTCGTTTTCATGGCATCACTCAAAAAATACAGGCTAGTTTAAGGCTGGGTCACGTACAGTTTGCCCCGCCAATGTACTATACTCCACCCTGCATTCCGTATGTACCTCCAGTAGCGTTTCAGCGCTTTCCAATTAAATAAGGCAGTTGTGAGAGAACATTTAATCGGCGGTAGTGTCACCCCTAATTACGGGATAAACACTGCGGGCGGCCGCTAATGTTCGTGTGCGTGTGGCATCTTCCATCTGCTTGTTCTAGGTTGAGGTATTTTGTTTTACATCTGATTTCTGTTTCTGTATTACTATTAGTATTATATTCATTGGTTCATTATATAAATTCAGTGATTTTAGAATTTTTTTCGTTTTCGATTTCATAATCTTTCTGATTTATGAGTTTGCAGTTTGGCCCATATATGGCGTCAAACAGTTGGCGTATTTTTTCTTTTTCGTAGTTTTGTTCTCGTCACCAAACATGAAAAAAGGAAATTCAGCCATAAAAGTGTTGTCGTGGGTGAGATGAGATGTTCCGTGGTCGTGAGAGGATACCCTCAGTCTGGCAGTCCAGTCCTGCTCTTCAATACTCCGTCACCAGAACACGGTTCCAGGTACGATACTGTAACAACTACAATCACGTGACATTTAAGGAAGTAACAACTGCATTCTGCAAGGTACACTACTCTAACAACTACAAGGTACACTAATCTAACAACTACAAGGTACGCTACCCTTCACTAGCTTACAATGATTGCTCCATACCAGGTACACTACCATCAACCATGACTACTAGTTTAAAAGAATTGTTATGATAACTACAAACAAAACTGTTATTTTGTCTGCATGTCAACCCCTCGTAAAATTGCCCTGAACCACAATTATAGACTATAGTTATACGAACTTTTCAATTTCGTGGAATTTTTAGTGGCAGTGCGAATGACAAGCACTGCTGACAAACGCGACTCAAGTTACTTATAACTAAGTTACTGACCTACTCTACGCTGTACACATATATTGAATAATACTAATAATAAGTATCTGGAAAAGGAGGAGAACATCAGGCAAGTTTCCACAAATGATTTTTGACAATAAGCAATAATAAGCGCTTTTTTAATGCTAAAAAAGCGCTTATTTTGAAAACCGATTATTTTACGCCAATAGACGGTCCCGATTAAAAAATCATTTGTGGAAACTTGCCGAACATCATGTCATACAATAATATTGTTATATATAATAACCTACAGTTATACACAGATAATAACTTATTTATTAAATAAGCAGATTCTAAAGTATAATAAGTAGCTGGCAAAGGAGGAGATCTTGTAGTGGAAATTTGTTGGCACTGGACATCGCGGCTCTCACAAGGTGAAAGTTGGGAGATTAGTTGGTCGGTGATAACTTATGCGCAATTAAACGATTTAACAATATACCTTGCTGCAGAAGCCGCACAAAAGTTCTATCCGTTTAACTTTTCTAAGTGTCGAAAGTAAAGTTTACCAGCTCCCAGGATTTTGATAAGCTGAATTGATTGTATGCTGGCATTGGTCGACGGATATGACTTCGCTTTTTAAACTTTGCAAAAATGTTGAATAGGTATCCCACTATTATAGACTGTTTCAGACTAGTATTCGAAAAGATCGCACCTTAGTTAAGTTAATAAACTTTATTTAACTGATTAGTAACCTCCGTCCTTATGTTGAGTCTGCTATTTTCATTTTGTTGTTTAGTTTCATGAGACGTAGGGCTGGTGTGACTGATGATCCTTTGTCCGCCGAAAAGGTTTGTAAAACACAAGGAAACATTTTCGCGGTTTTTTTGAAGCTCAAGAAAATATGTTCATGAGTTTGTGGAACGTAAGGATTTTTTACCAGGTTTGTGAAACATGATGAAATGTTAAATAGGTTTGTGCAATACACGGCAAATAAAATGTTGTAACGGTTTCGAGCAGAGTTCTAATTAAAACTGATGGATATTGTAACTTTCTCAGCTTTGAAAATCCTCCATAACATATTCTCTTTGCACTTTCCTACAATTTCAAGACTCAACTTTGTGAAAAGTTGTATTTCTCCATTATGGAAAACCTGTCTAGTTCTGCAGGTACAGTGGTGTTTAAGTGTTTAAACTAAACAAAAGAGCACGAGCACTGATATATCACTTTATGCCGACAAACGTCTATAAATAGTATAACGACTAACGTCTAATTACTAACGTCTAACTGCTAATGTCTGCAAGGGCAGTATTGTTTTTGTACTATATTTTATCTTATTATGTCCTTATCATGTCGACAGTGGCTTCTAGCTAGACTGTGAGAATAAGTAATGGTTTGACCTGATTATCCGTGGGAAATTAGTGGACGTGACGTGAAGCTGAATATGTCTTGTAGCTTTTATTGCTATCAATATCATATTTACGTTTTACCTTGAAAAATTACTCCAAGTATGTGTGAGCTAAGGCGTTAAAATTTTCCACTGACATAAAATAAAGGTTCTACTGTATTTATAATTTTAAAGGTTACTAGGTTAATGTAAAATATTGAAGTGAAACCTGCACTTTCGTCGTTAAGGATAAGCTGTGTTTTTAAACACCCCAACTTCATAAGTGTATTTTAGTTATAGCGGCCTCTAAATTGGCTGTGAATACTTCAGCCGTTAACTGAATGTTGCAACGTGTGATGGAAAACCGAAAAACGTATACCTTTTAAGCTTTTAAAAGTTACTAGCTGCTTTGCTACTATTTTCCACCATTATTTTTCGCAAATAATGATTACAATTACATTATATAAATGACTGTAGCTACAAAAATTGCCCTTTTCAATCACGAGATAAATTAATTAAAAACCTCATCGCTTTATTATTTTAAAATTTTAAGCTCATTATTACTTTATAAGGCTTTCAGTGGAAAACAACTGCAGTGCTGCTGTATAAGGCATTCAGACAACATTTAATAATCAATAACATTTAACTAATCAATATTTTCTGTGGAATAATTAGTAAGTTAAAGCAAAACGTGTAAAACGAGTCGCGAGCTGAGTTGCATCCAAGATTTAATGCCCTTTGTAATAATATTTTGAATAAATTGGTACATTGACCAACATAATTAAACAGTTTAATAAATTAACCTACCATTTACGTAATTGTACTTGTAGCTTACCTGATATCAGATATGAAGTACATAATTCACCTGAATAGCAGCGCCAAGTAAGGATTACCACTTTTTAACTAATTACTAGTCACTTTAAAAAATACTTAATAACTGAAATTTAAACGAGCTTGTCTGGACCGTAATCAGCATCAAGTATTAACAAAAATCTTGTTCGGACCTTCATTCACTTGACAAGCAACCGTATGCCACAGCGTACGCTATGCAGTATGCAAGTGACTTAGTTAAAAACAAACTACAATATTCTCACAATAGATGAAAAAGCACGAATCATTCGATTGAGCGCTCTGCAGGTGAGGGCTCTATTTTTTCTGAGGGCTGCCATTTTCTCTGCCATATTATTGTCTTAGTGTCTGTTACTAGGGTTTTCTCCTCTGCAATTTATGAGGGATGAGACAGAGCCGAGGTGATTATAACGCTCTCAAAGGCCAAGATTCCACAAGTCTCTGGAGAGGTCTTCTCACCTCAGCTTTCAAAAAGGTCTGAATTGTTCTCACTGTGAGATTTTAATGTAATACGCTGAGAATATATTGCTTTGCGTTGTTGTTGCACAGCTTATGAATATTAAACTTGACCATTTGTGCATCTTTATGGAGGAAATTTGTGGCGTTCAATTTGGTTGAATCACTCATGCAGCCCACCATTTCTTAACTTCACATTTTTCTCTCCGGCTAACTTATAGATATCTCAATCATCAATCCGGCAAATCCTAAATCAACTAATAGTAATGATTGCCTAATAACAATTCGTTCCCGACGTCACACTACATTCCCACAATTCCTCAGCCCTTTCCTCCCAGTCCAATAAACCTTCCCTCCTCACATACCACAGAAATTATTTAACCTTCATGTAACGCATTTCCTGGACCAATTACCCGCCGTCTAATCGGGCAATCAATCGATCCGGAGACCACCCTCACTTCATGGTGTGTCCAATTAGCCACTCGTGGTGTTCAAAATAGAATCATATATTACACGATTCCCTGTTTGAGTCGGAGTTTGCCTGGTTTGATGAAATTCAGGACCTGTATTTGCGAGGTTTATATCTTACGTGCGCTGATTGAGCTTAATCCTGATATTGTGCTGTTGCTGAATGATGTCGTATGATGGCAAGAAGGGTTTGTTTCACGATCCTATAGCTTCAACATTGGCCAAATTAGCTATGCAGGTAAAGGTTTGTTAAAGTCTTTGATTTTATAAGTGGTTTAGTTAGAAACAAAAACTAAATCCTTATCTACGTTATGCATCAAACGCTGCTCCGGAATTGAATGAGGACACAAGCACTCAAATAATTAGACATCAAAGGAAATTTTGTCCAAGTCAATTAACTGTTATTAATATTATCTTATATTAACCTCGTAGTTAAAACCTAAATATTAAATTCTTCCAATCATCATAGATGTAGTGCATTCAGTCCATAGGTGCAAATTTTAAATTTTGTTGATTTCATCTGACCGCCAACTTCTTGCCACCATTATTTCATCGAAAAAATACCGGGATCGTAAATTCTTTTGTCTTGTATCAGTTCGATTATCGCATGGTTTGCTTTTGAAAAATTTAGTCATAAAAGCATGCTAAACTCCAAAACTTCTTTCTCCTTAACAACAACTAATCGAAGGAGGAAAAAATTTAAAGTATGTGATTTTATAAATTTCTCCGCTGTAAAAATAACTTGGCGGTGGTAAGACAAGAAAATCTCGAAAGAACCTGTAAAATGGTAAGTTCTAATCTGTTGGTGGTCTTTACAGATACTAATTTACCAATCATTACGTACTTTGGTCTGCGGTCGGCCGGGCTAACTGCAATTAACTTTAACCATTCCATCGGCTATTGCTCGGAATCAATGCTAATCCAAATCCCGTACTAATAAACCGATACTACAATTAAAACTATGCCGATTGATTTTGCTTTGTAGAGGCAAATCATAGACCATATGTTTCAACCGTGCAGACCACATCTCAATTCGTTGTAACATTCAAACGTACAATAATGTACAAGTTTCTTGAAGATGTCTCGGGAAAAGTTTTTTGCTCTGTTTTAATGCCTAGTAACCTGGTAAATTCTCTTTTTGTAAGTTCCACATCTAGATATCATCATCTTGATTACCAGTACGCGTTAATTTGCGAACAGCTACTTTTACTGTTGGCTATATATCACAGTATAGATATGATACTAGTTTCTGCGGCTAGTGATCACATATTGTAGCTAATAAAACCTATTGTAGTAGTTAATTGGTAAAATTGCTGAATTGTGGGAGCATGACTGATCAGTGAGCTTGACGAGGCAAAATATCACAATTGAGAAATATGCTTACTATAATCACTAGTCAGTAAGGCATGGAATTTTCAAAAGTATTTCTCGACGGAATATGGTATTTATATTAACGAAACTAGACTTGCCGCCAATTTTGGAACACTAAAAATAGCTGATATTGGGACAGGCCCTTTTCAGAGGTTTCACAATTACCAAATTGCAGTGTTCGAACAGTCTCTATACGGTCTACGACCATCAAGAAAAAATTGGATAATTGTGAAACCATTGAAATGGGCATTGCCCAATATGAGCTATAGTTATGAGTGTTGGTGACAAGTCTAATTTCGTTGATACAAGCCAAAAGTACCATATGCCAGCGGATCCTAAAAACCAACTCTTCCTCCCGTGATATATACGCTTTTTCTATAATAAAATGATCTTTATCTATACAAATTATTACAAAAGCCGCTTTAATTGGTGACAGCACATGGTCAAAGAACTACAATAAAAGCCTGATTTACCGCGGAGTTTGGGGAAAAGAAAAAACCGCGGTTAATCGGGGTTTGCGGTTAATCGGGGTTCACATCATACCTGTTAAGCACAATTTGGGAAAAGGATATTGTCGCGGTAAATCAAGGTTTTACTCTGTACAAAACTAATAAGTATGACACCTGTAAATGACTAATCATTACTTAATAAGCTTATTGTCATACAAATTAACCATCACAAAGCGAAGTGGCCAATGAATAAGATCCATATCTTTTAGTAAACAGATTCATGATACGTTGGCTTCTGTATTACTAAAATGAAAGCCTGATTGCGTGTGTACTTTTACCTACAATGTTTAAAAGTGATGATCTTGTTTCCAAAATGTACGAGAGACTCGTCGCTACTAGAAGGGCCAGTGATTTCGTTCTTTCGTTACTCCGTCTAACTGTAAGTTTGTTAGAATCTTCTAGATGATATTTCATCTCAAAAATTCGCAGTGAGAGAACGAGGTCAGTATTATCACAGATACTATTACTAGCAGTGTAGTATCTGTACAGTAAAACATTTTTATAAGTTTATCGTTCCTCTCGAGTTTCTAGACCGGGTACCTCGATATACCTGGTCTCTTTCTTTCCCCCAAACTTTTGGTCAAGTATAAGATTGTGTTTTTATATTTTGCGAAAGTAATATGTGATTTTTCAGTGTATTTGATGGTAATTTGAGTACACATCGAGCTGTATATTCCATCGCTATACGACAGACACCTGCATAACTATAAGGCCCCTTATAAATGGGGTATACCGTATAATATGACGATTGACAGGTTATTTGAGAGTTTGAGAGGCTTCAGAATTGGAATCATTTGAACCTCTCCATACCGGGATTTCTATACCGTGCGCTTTTCGTTTCCCCAGAGGAGCCCGGTATGAAGTAGTTTGACTGTATAATTTCACTAAAAATGAGTTTCGCCGAGGACCTCAAGTTTAAATCTCCATCTCGTACTACAGTATATTAGTACGTGCCGTCTGGCTAGGACAAAAGACTGCATTTCGTACTGCAGTACGTGCCGTCTAACTAGAACGACGACCGCATCAAATACTGAGAAAGGTCCGTCTAGCTAGAACAAAGACTCAGTCTCTTAATCGGTTGGAGTCTGAAAAGAACAATATTCTGCATATAATAAAAGTCTAGTGGTGTTTAATAAAGTTACAGTAAATTACATTTTATTGACGAACCCTTCTCTATCGTGATGTAATACTTCAAACATAGGGTGCACCCCCAAACTTAATAATATTGAGATCTTTTGAGAGCTCGAGCCTCGAAAGTAAAAAATACTTATCGCACGAACTTGTGTCGGGTGGGGAGCGGCGCAAATTTTTGTTCAACCCTCATGTCAAAGTTAACAAATCGCCTACTAGATGCTTTATAATTAGGATTTCTTCCTTTTCCGCCTATCTAAACTTTTGGTGAATTATGTGATAGGTGGATTTACATCTGTATATATTACTCTTTATTGTCATTTTTGAATGAAGTTTGTGTCCAATGTTATACATCGCGTCAATAATATGTAATCAAAATAATTGAAATGAGAGATATTCAATCTAGATAATTCAGAATCACTCTATATACCGTGCCTCTCTATTATACTGAGTACCTCGATATACCGAGCTTCTTCTTTCACCCAAACTCTAAATAAATTAGCATGTTATCGGCCGATTTGTACTGCAAGAAATGTGATTTGTCATAGCTCCCCTGGGAGGCCTGGTATATAATGTTTTACAATAAAAGCGAATTAGAAATCCCATTCTTAAACAGTTATTCAAACATAACCAAGGCATTATTTCAGAGGACATTCGACGAATGGGTAGTGAAGAACATCCAAGTTAGGGAGTGCTACAAGTTCGTTAAGGAGAAAGATGATGTGGATAATGACCCTATCTGTCATTGCAAGAACAAGCTCTCGAAACACCCTAAGCTTAGTTCCGGTTCGGGTTTGCATCTTTCTTTATTTTAAGTTCAACTTTTAACATTTTTGTGGTAATGATTTATAGATCCACTGGTAGGCAGTGGTGTAACAAAAAACTATGGGGGCCCGGGGGGGGGGGGGGGGGGGGGGACTTTCTGAAATGAAATTTTGTTGTTTGTTTTTAGGACATTTTTGAAAAACCTTTGTAGGGGCGCCACTAAATTTGAGGGGGGGGAACCAAATGGTAACGTTACGCCACTGCTGGTGAGAAGGTGAACCATAATTTTTTTGACTCGTGACAGCCATTAACGAAACAGCTTACATGCCTTGACTTGTGATTAATTGACTAATTGATAAATTGACTCATTGACTAATTGGCTAATCACTGTCACGTGTTTTGGTTTACCTACCTACCAGTCTCCAGATCCCTTGTTTGCTAACAACAGAGTTAAGTTACGTATCACGTGATTACGGTTCCAACATTGCCACAGAATACATCCGGCCTCAAAATTCGGATGGAAAATTACATGAAGAGGTTGAGATCGAAAACCATAAACCGCGGTGGCCGTCTAAACAACCCCACCCTCACTCCGGTTCAGCTTCCTGTAATTGCGTTTGAATCTTTCTAAAATCACCTTTTAACTTAACTTTTGGTAATGAAAAGATTTATTTCTTTGCTGAAGTCTGTAAGTGAGCGTTTAAAACTTCACAGCTCGTCCTAATCATTACTAGTAAAACAAAGTATTTAGTAAAACAAAGTATTTAATTATTATATATTATTATAATACTAATCTTTACACGCGCCTATGTAATCTATGATAATATAAACGGGAACATTTTAATAAGAGACCAATTATAAGAGATCATTACAATATGATTGATGGCGTTATAACACTTATCACCAGTCTTGAGGCTGTATAATTTATAATTTTATAACTTCTATATAAGACTGGTTTAAAGTTAATCATTATCATACTATAAACATATAAAGCGCTAAAAAAAACCTCTAACTCTGAGATCTGACATTATGAATTTGTAGTAGGTTCAGAAAGCGATATAGTACTGTATACTAACGCAAGCGGTAGAGTAAGATGGCGCCTAGCGCCGCCCCAATACAAGCTCCCTAGTTATGATCGTGAGTCACATGCAGAACAAGTGCAAAATGCAAATGCCAAATTGTATGTCATCTATATATCTCTTTATGATCCAGATCAGTTATGTATGGAAATTGATTCGTTTCGAGTACCAATTATAGTGCCTGGGTTTTTCTTTAAAATGGGAAATAGCCGATTTAAGATGTGCATGATCTAAGATAAATGCAAGTTTTAGTCTAATTTTGATCTGCGATCAAACTCCGTGAAAATTTTAAACACTTCCTCTTCCTCCTATTGCTTAGACCTCTTAAATCTTTTTGATTTGGTACCTTTTTGATATCTGTATCATGACTCTTATTTCTGATTTTACATTTCCGTTCATTCTGTGTTCATGCTGCATCCTAACGTTTTAACAGTGGTTTTAGAGGAATTCAGTCAAAATAGCACCTACTTATAATAGGGCCCCTACAGTCACCATGTCCAAACTGTAACACTTTCATTTCAAATCAATTTTGGTGCTCCAATCTAGCCTTGGAACCAAACCAATGAAATAACTTATTTTCACGAGGAAGAACGAGAATATTTTTCAGATTTTATGGAGATGCCAGAAGAGTCGTCGTGGACACAAAACGACAACACTATGCTCACAAAAAACAATGCTTTCGGAAAAATCACATTCGACGTTGAGGTCTGTACAGAAACTGCTGTTTCTACTTGAACTTCGACTTGATAGATGGCTTGTTTTACAAAATCATGACATCCTCATTTAGTGACTTAATTTTTTAATTTTTCTAGTTGAGTATATAATTAGTAAGTCATTAGTAAGTAATTAGCAGGTAATTAGCAGGTAATTAGCAGGTAATTTATTGAGCTTGTTGTCAGGAGTGCTCAGAGGAAGCGCAGTATATGAGAATAGCTAAAGACTACAGTGAGAAACCAAGAATTGAAATCCTTAAATCTCTCTTCGCTGATTTCTGGAAACTAGATGAACCAGGTAAGATTAGATTGCAGCTTTTACTTTCATGTTCTTGGCATGTTTTCTTTCTTTAACAGTTTAGCCATTTAACAAAACTTAATTTGTGTTTTTCTAAGCTTTATAATTAGATTATTAAATGCAGACAGTTTGACATGAGAAATTAACATAAATACATTTCAGACTTGCTGATATCAGTCTCTGGAGGAGCCAAGAGTTTTAACGTACCTCAAGACATCTGTGCTTCCTTTCAACAGGGACTGTTAAACGCTGCCCGGTCTACGAGAGCCTGGATTATTACTGGTGGACAGCATTGCGTTAGTTTCACACTCACTTTCACTTTCACTTTCACTTTCACTTTCACTTTCACTTTCACTTTCACTTTCACTTTCACTTTCACTTTCACTTTCACTTTCACTTTAAATTTTATAGTACAATTTGTTGAAGTTTGATTAAGTCGCGTGCTGTAATTGAGTCTTCTTTAACGATTAGGACATTAGGTATAGAAAATTGTATAAATGACGATTGTCGCGCGAATACATGCTTTCAACAACAAAAAGTTCAAAAATCGGACGAAACAGTATACGAGCAAAGTATCATGATATTTAATAGTATTCAACTTGTTGTTAACTATATTAGGAAGCCTAAAAATATAATTAAATTAATACATTATTAGAACATTGTCATCACTGAGTCTATTCAGAAAAAAATTCTTGAAAGAATCATTATAAATTAGACTCATTAACACAACACGACTTAATCAGATTAATCAAAGTTATAAAGTTAATTTTCATAGTCTATAATAGTTAGTTAATCAATATAAATATTTGCAGGGTGTTATGAAACTAGTTGGCGGTGTAATAGGACAAAGTATTTCAACTACCAGAATACCTACCATTGGTGTGGGTAACTGGGGTAAGACGTGGAAGAACAACCTGCTGGTTCACAATAGAAGTGGTCATTACGGTGGGGTATGTAAATCTCTGCTTCACTGCACTTGTGATTCATAAATATTAGATGTTCTAATTAGTTGCAGTTAATTTTTGTCGTTCTTCGATTGATCCTTCGTCTTGTTTTTATCACAAATTAACTGACTTAGTGCGAATCCTTAATTTTGCTTAATCAATTAAATTTGTATTTTCTCCAATTCATTGTTCATTGCACTGCATATGTTCCAAATATTTCTCCAAAAATATCTCCTTTCATAATAATAATAAATATAAACTCATGTTTAATGTATATTAATTGTTTATCTCTTTAACTGATGATCTTAACCTGTTCCCTCAGCAGAGAGAAGCCACAACGTACCCAATAGAGCCCCCTGACAAGGGTTATGCCACTCTTGACCCCAACCACACTCACCATTTTCTCGTGGATGACGGTTAGTGCTCCCCAAATTCTGCTTCTAAGATGACTGCCAACTTTTAACTGCATATATTTTCTTGTTTTATTTTCACATTTTGCTCCTTTTGGTCAATTTGAAAATGTTATACCCAGCAGACTGGTGACGATTTTGATCATTGCAATTTAATTCGCAGAATAAAAGTTACATCCCTTGTCCAATTAATTTGTTCTAAAAATAAATATTTGGTTCTACTTATACATTCCCCACTAATAACTATATAGCTGCCTTTTAACTAGATTTTGGTCTCATTTGATAATGTATTTTAGAAAAATATCTTTGACATGTCTTACAGGTACAACAGGTACAGATGGAATTGAGTACGAATTCAGAGCCGCCCTGGAAACGCTCATATGTGAAAAGTTCATGATTCAAAGTACGATTTTCAAAATTTTTGAATAATAGCGATAAACTATTATAGTCTATTAACACTTTCATCCGTGCATGTGATAACGTGATTCAGATTGATGATAAAGATACAAATACAAAATACAATACGTGATACAGTTACAAAATCAATGTATAATTACATTTTAGCTTTCTGCTAACCATTACTCTATCTTTCTCAGATTAATTATCACTAATTATTAATCACCAGATGTTCCGCTGCCTATGGTTTGTATCATGGTTGAGGGGGGTATGCGGAGCCTGGAAATTGCTATCAGCACTCTCCGGAAAGGTACAGGTAAAGCTGAGTTTGTACCTTCTTTTCATCTTTTGACTGTGACTAACACAGTGTGGACACAGTCTGTTGCTGGGCGCTCTTTATGAATGACTGCACATTGCGTTCCTATAATGCGCAGCATTCACTATGCATGAAGTTTATCATCTTACCGAGAAGTTCTCGGTAGAAGATTGCTAGGTTGATGGCACAGATAAGGATGGCTTTCTGGCCTCATCTTTCATGCCTTATCTGTTTTATCATAATAGTAATCTAAGACCAAAGAATTTTCTTACACTCGGTATACACACGCTCAGCAATAGACTGTCTTAATTGTCCACGATCCTTCAACCAAGGTTTTTTTTCTCAGTTTATTTAAAACTTTGTTCCGCATCTTTATATTGTCATGAACATCATCTCCTTATGCATTTGTGATCTGATTATTATTATAGTTTGAAATTTTTTTTTCTCCCCCAATTGTTGATTTTTACTTATTTCTCTCTTCTCCTCCATTTAAATAAAAAAATCTTTTAGATGTCCAATCAGCTTTATCCAGTTCTCAGATCTCCAATTCTCGCTGTTCTTCCTAATCAGTGGAAATGATAACTGCAATGATATCTCGGCCCCTTGTCGACATTTTAATCAGTTTATAAATCGTATTTTGATAGTAAATTATAGATATACCAAGTAGATTTAAACACGTGTGCTCCATAAATCATGACGTTTTGTCTGGCCCCCCAGGTAACACGCTGGTGGTACTAAAGGGAAGTGGGAGAGCCAGTGATATACTGTGTTACGGGTTCGAAAACAGCATAGAGATAGACTCTGATGGTACAGGTGGAAGGAAGGAGCGCAAAATGCCTGGTATGGAGGAAATATGTAGTCACATATTCATTTTTATAGAGTGTAGCTAGCAGAATGGTTTTCAGAGGGCATTAATGTAATTAACTGTGAGCTGGTCCCAAGTCCAGACGCCATTATTTCATTTTCATTACAATAACCCTGTCTAGTCACTGACTACTGATAGATATATATGGAATAAGCTGCTATGATTGAATAATAAGATTAGAAGCTTTCGTCGAATTCTCTTCATAGTTTCGAGAAAGCATTTTCTGGTGTTAAGATATTACATATTTACAATCTACAAAGTAATACTGAGAAAAATTCAGCTGAGTGCGACGTGGAGATAAAAAGGTTGATCGAAAAAGATTTTGGGAAATACAAGATCGAAAAACAAATGCTCGATCTTATCCTTGAAATCTCTGCTTATCGAGACTTTGTCACCATCTACAGTATCCAAAACCCAGAGCCCCTTGACTTCTACATCTTATCATCTCTGATGAAAAGTTCTGGTGAGTTGTTACAGCGGTGCTAACTTATTTGAAATTTCGCATGCTCTTTCAGTTTGTTTATCAATCTTTTAAACAGTTAAGCACGAGTTTTGTATAACTATGATATTCATAACAAACAAATTTGTTTAATTTTAATGATGATAACAAACAAATATGTGTCATGTTGCGTGTTCCGGTTGAAAACAACCGTTTGCTACGGCCGATGCATATTTTAAAATTGTTCACTTAACAGATACATTTAGCAACATTGCGGTTTTGTCTTATTACTTAAGAAATAACATATTAATCAGATTCAATAAATATTTAATCGCAGCTAATGCTAACGTATTAGCCGCTACGAAGATGCGGCAAATGAGACTTGCCATCACTTGGGGACATGCCAAGATTGCTAGAGAATTTATCTTCAGTCAGAAACTCTACAAATTCTCGGTTTGTGAATAAAACATTTCCTGGGGAACTTTTAGTTAGGATTTATAACTTTATGTATCTTTATTCATAGTAATTCAGAGAACGTAAAAATCGGTACATTGCGTGAGTATAAACTGGTCAAACCAGAGTGAATAATTGTTTTTTGCAAACTGGCCGTCTGCGTAAATTCGGAGGGTAAACAGATATTCACAGGGCCAGGTTCAGATCAGTATCAACTTCGAGGTCAGCTCTTTCAAATACGGAGGATTCGTTTGAGCATCTGCTATGCAATGGCTGAGAAACTGCATGATAAACTGTGCCCAAAATCCCCTAGGTTTTACTCTATAATGCTTTGGGTTTGGCTGTAACAGTGCAACACATGTACTCAGATTTTTTTGCGGACTGATCACGTCCGACTCCGTTACAATTTCTACCCTGATGTTTTTTACACAATTTTCTTCTGTTGAACAAAATTTGTTCTTTAGTAAAGAACAAACCAACCGAAGGGATAAATAATTCAGAAATGGGGTAAAATTATAGATGGAATTTTAGTATAAGGGCAGTAGGGCACCATCTCCATGAGCCTAAAGTAGGGGCAGTCAAAGCACTTGATGCTATACTATCGTAAGCCTCAAGAACCATCCCTTTGATAAAACTTCACCCCATTTCACACCAAAATTCAAACATCTTCATCTTCAGGCATACGAACTGGAACAACTAATGCTGTTCGCTATAACCAAGCAGAGGACAGAGTTTGTCAAGTTGCTCATGGACTACGGCTGTGATTTGAAACAGGTTACCTACTTAAATAAGTCATGGTTTATAAACTTATACATGGTTTATTTAATGAGTTTTTAATTTTAAATTTATTCGCGATCGCTCGACTGAGCTGCACTGTACAGGGTGTTTCAAGACTCGTGTCAAAATTTTGAATGGCCCTTAAAATCTAACAAAAAGGTCAAACAGTTCGATTTTGTTTTAAATTATAGATAAATTATTATATAAATGTCACATGATGTAGAGATTATATTAATATGTACTATGTAATATAACCTAAAGCATTAACACAACTTATTGCTCCAGTTTTTGACCGCAAAGAACCTGAAGATCCTGTTTAACTCCCTGGACCCCAAGTCTGGAGGCTACAGGTTACTGATGGAGAAAGCAGAGCGGAAGTTACGGAAAATGAAGTTTGATGGTAACCGAAATGTTGAGGAGGGTCCCGGAACTAGAACTCCTGTTAGTAATTACTAATTGCTAATTACTAATTAATCTCGCCAGCTTTATAAATAATTGCACTGATTAATCAATCAGCAACAGGCCCTGCACGTGCCTAAAAAACGGTGTTCTAACTTTCAGGAAATTTGTTGTTGACTTTTGAAAATATGGAATCTTTGTAATTTTCGATCTGAAGTTGTAACTGCGACCCATGTTTCAGGAGATACAGCTGTCGGAGGTGGGGTCGCTACTTGCTAGGATAATGCAGGGGTCCTATACGTCCATTTTCAATACTCACAAGAAGAAATACGAAAACGGAGCAGCTACATTTGATGTAAGATTTGGAAATAAAGCTATCGATTGTGGCAATATGAAAAGAATTAATTGATACTATGGTAAAAAAATGATTGTAGCCTCCAAAATTCATTTCAAAAATTCAAATTTTCTGCATTAAAATTTCTTGTACATTTTCAGAACCCGTTTGACTTGATGACGGTGTATTGTGCTCTGGATAATTGTCAAGACATGGCATTACTGTTCTGGAAGAAGAGTCGGACTCCTATGGCTACTGGCATCATCGCTCATAGGTACAGTAAAACCCAAATTTACCACGCCCCTATTTACAACAAACCTCGATTTACCGTGGCCAAATTTCTGTCTCTCAAATGGTATCTTAACGTATATATGTAAGCAATCAAAACCCCGATTAACTGCAGGACCCCAATTTACCGGGACTTTTGTCTATCCTCAAAACTTCGCGGTAAATCGGGGTTGTTTTACTTATGTATCATCACTTATAAGTGATAGGTAATTACCGCTATAAGAAGTTTTCTCAATTTTATCGTGGTCTGATGTTAGGCAGTTAACCAAGATTTACCTAGGATATACAACTATCTGGATATGATGGAAAGCAAATGGGCTCGAATGGATGAAGAAATGACGGAACAGTTGGAGAAAGCTGCCAGGTTAGCAAGTTCAGCCTTCGTCGTTTAATTCTTCCTCATATATTATTGTTACGCAAGATATTGATAGACCTTAATGATAATTAATTAAGTTAATTGATTTATTAATTAAGTTAATTGATCTTTTACCAAACGTGTTGTCGCAGTGATTTCGAGTCTCTGAGTTATGGTCTGATGACGATGTGCTACCATAACTACGAAAAGAAAGAGTGGGTCAACATCCTGGAAGTGAAAATGATAGATTGGGGTAACTTGTCCCTTTTCGAAATAGGTCAGATTACGGGGGCTAAAAACTTCTTGTCCCACGCCGCCTATCAGAGTTACCTTACTGATATTTGGATGGGGGAGGTCCATCCCAGTACGCCATTTTTCCTGGTAGGTTATTGGTTAAAATACTTGTTTTTATTTTTTTCATTCTTTTCCAAGTCGTTGCTTTTAAATTTAATTGCATTTATTTTTTTGCTCCTCTTCGGTAATCAATGTTAGCTTATATTGCCTACTAACCTTTTTAAATTATTTGGTTACCTAATTGTTATCTTTTAATCGAAATATTTTCAGCTCGCATTTTGTGCGGTCCTACCACCCCTACCAATATTTTTGAAGTACAACTCTAAATTTGGAAAAAAGAATGCTGATCTCAACCCTCGGTAATATATTTTTCAAAAAGAGGTTTTCATAAAAACTTGCAAGGTGGCTGTATGCTAATTGGAATTAAATTAAGAAGATTGCAGAGGTGTGTTTTAACTGAGTTGAAAGAAAGTTCGTCGTGGAACATTAGAACATTCTCATTTCTCATACTACCTACTCTCATACCTAGCCAACAGCAAAGTCACAATATTTCCCCTTCGAATGGACATACAATATTCCCTCAGAACGGACAAGAGTGGTACTGACAAAGATGACCAGGTTGGCAAGAAGCCCAACCCCCTGAGAAGGCTCCAACTGTTTTACACTTCTCCTGCAGTCAAGTTCATTCTCAATGGTATCACATATCTTATATTCTTAGGTGAGTGAACGACTTGTTTCTTGGTTCGATATAATTCTAAGAACCGTCTCGGCAGCTTTTAGCAATTACTTATTGGCATAAAAGTATTAGGGGTTCAAATTGTTTGGAAAACTATACATTAAAGTTAATCATGGCCTATCTCTGCTTCACAAGCCGCACCTCAGGTCTTTACATATGTAGCATACTTGAAGGCAATGAGTGCAATTGTGAGGACCACCCATCTGATGAAACCTGTGGACCTAACACTAACATGGTGGGATGGAAAGACTATTATCTCATCATATTTGTTGGATCAACAATCCCCATTGAGATATCCCAGGTACTCTTGATTTCATAAAAATTGATTTGCCAAAATGTTCATTTGTCTGTAAATTTTGGTGTGGATTGTCCGATTATAGCGTATAATAATTCAGTATATATTTCACCAGATATGTAATGATTAAAACGGTCCTGGTTGATATACTAGTTAATTATACGTCAAATATGTCAAATATATGTCAAATATGTGACATATTTGGTTAACAGCAAACACTGCTTTCGTAGTTCACCTCGGTTAAGCAAAAGAAAAATGACAAACATGGTGTAAGAGCGGTCAGTACCATTAACAGTATGCTAAACTCTCGCCCCCATTGCCACTGCAACAACCTGACTTGTACCACAGCAACGGACCTCGCTGTGCGAGGGGGTTCACTGCACTTTTACCGTCTGAAAAAGTGAAAACCTGGTAACCTGGTAACCAGTCTGAAAACGTGCAGTTTTCCCCCGCGCGCGGCGTTTTCCGAAACATTGTACTTACTTTATGTGATAGCACGAAAAATGTGATCCATCTGAAAGTTTATAGTTCGTTCGCATATATCGCATGGCAATGCTACGGTTTATTGCTACGGGTTATGTTCGTCATGCTATTTATATGGTGTTACAATTAAGTTTATGTTATTGTTGTTGAACAAAACGTTGAAACAAAAACTGCATGAAAATTGTGATGAATTTTTCAGATAGTAGTTAAAAAAGTTGCTACTAGAGACAAGAAAAATGCACGGCAGGTTACATTGAGTGAAAAATCTGCCTCTTAATTTTTTGTCCGAACTCATCGGAGAATTATTTATGCGAGCCGCACATCCCATCCATTGATGTTATTTTTTCTCTTCTTGACTCAATGACTAAGGCTTGGCAGGGTTAACTAATTAATTAATTGATCATATATTCCATCATACAACAAATATTTTGAGTTCCTGATGATTTCGTCGTAAGGGACCGTTCACTTATTAATATTATGCAAGCCAGATTTTGGCCAATTAGACCCCCCCCCCCCCCCCCCCCCCTTGGTAAGCTATACCTTACAAGACATTTTTGTGGCGGACCAATGTGCGACGACCGAAATTTTGGCGGTCCGAAAATATGGCGAAATTGAACAAAAACCGCGACCGTCACATTTCGGACGTCACAGAAAATAAGGGTATTTTTCATCATTTTGTTTTCTGACACAAAGGAAATTCAAAATTTTCTAAAAATCGGTAAAATCATGTTGAAACAAAATGAAACTTATAAATCGATTTCTTCATCTTCCTCTAAGGGGTCCGGCTCGAATCTTTCAGTTTCACTTATTGAGTTTGGTATTAAATTGTTTATCTTGACTTAGTCTATAAGACGTTTATGTTAGCACATAAATGTAATTTATTGTAAATTTAAAACGTATAACTTGACATTAAATTCATCATGGAATATTGTGTTTATTTGTCCCACCATCATATCACTAACTTTTCAAGAACAAAATGAATCGATGAAGCCACAATTATTGGAATAAGCTAAAAATAATGCGACGGATTCTATTACGACGACCGAAATTTTGGCGGTCCGAAAATATGGCGAAATTTCGGGAAAACCGTCGCATTTCGTACGTTATAAAAATGTCTTGTAAGGTACTTTACACATAACTATTCTGTAGAAATAACGCAAGAAATTACATCAAGTTTTTTCAGATCCCTCCCTCTAGGCTGGCTCGCCTTATAAGTGAATTAGTGAACGGTCCCTAATGATAAAAAACTATATTGATTAAATCCTATTAATTGTTTTCTATCGGGTTGAAGATGAAGCAAACTTTTCTGAAGCAAATCGGTTTTTATCAATAATCATTCCTGAGTCTGGTTTTTATAAAAGCATTATTTTTGGTCCTCCGCATTTAAAACTACCGTTCAAGGACTCTGGTAACCATGGTGACCAGTGCCAATCACCAGCCAGACACAGTCCTAGGGTAGATAGATTCCTCACTTTACATTTACAATCTTGAACCTTTCAAACTTGTGGTCTTGAGGGGTCCTGTAGCATGTTGAAAATTGCCATTAAAGGGCTTTTGTGAACGTTTATAGTCAGTAGTATAAGTTTTATTTTGTAAGCTGTGTCTATATAATATTAATAAGCACGTGCCTTTTGTTTCCTGATATTTTTCTGAGAGATTTTTACCCTTTGAACCTAATTTGGTATCTGTAAATCGTGATAAAAGTTGAGGAATAAAAATTATCGTGACAGATCTGGATATTGTTAGAGAGGTTAACTTAATAACCACAATTGACACGTGATTCTGCGATTTTGGTTAATTGTGAGTGAAAATTGTTTCATTTAAGTCAATTGTCACGTGACCACAGTCCTAAGATATAGGAGTAACGTGATCACAGTCCTAAAATATAGGAGTAACGTGACATGTGACCACAGTTATAAGATATAGGAGTTATAAAATATAAGAGTTACGTGATCACAGTCCTAAAATATAGGAGTAACGTGATCACAGTCCTAAGATATCGGAGTAACGTGATCAATATAAGCAACATTAAGATGTAGATCCGGACAGGGAGGTGAACCATATTTCTTTGACACGTAACATGATATTCAGAGTTTAGATTATTCAATGCTGGAAGCTGGCGGGTATAAGGTTAGTCGCTGTCACGTTTCCGGGAAAATATGATTCACCTCCCACAAATTACAAATACCCAAATATATTCAACACATCACTGTTTATATTGTAACGAAATTAAGAAAATTTATTTTTAAAATGATCAATTATATTAAAAAAGCAAATACAAAGCATAAGATATAGGAGTCACGTGACCACAGTTCTAAGATATAGGAGTCATGTGACAGCATGGTCAAATACTTGCTTATGCGCTGCAGGGCAATAACTGCTCGCAATTATTCTTGTGATATGTTTCTGGCTGATATTTTAATTATCTGCTATATGTATAGCTTTTACCCCCTTTTTCTTTATTCATTATAAATATGGTTTTGTATTTGTGCCTGATGTCATGATACCTTTAAACCATTAAAAATGAGTGTTTCTTGAATGTCTGTAGTATTCGAATGAATGAGTAAAAGTTTAATAGAAATTGAAATTCTATAACGAAAGTATTTTACGAAATTAAACATTTTCATATTATAAAATTCTAGAGCATCATCTACACATCCTCTTATCAGTAAATACAACAATTAATTAATTAATTAATATTTGAACTTCTCTCCAGGTGATAGACGGAAACACGAAATCAGTACTGAAGAAGTTTAAGATATACTTCAAGCAAATGTACAATGTTGTGGACTTGCTTGCCATCATTGTCTTTACAATAGCGTTTACACTGAAGTTATCCGTTAAATGTAATGACGATGAGCGATACATGATCTATAAGTTCTCGTTAGTGAATTTTTGTCTTATTTCCTTTTTCCAACATGAACAGGCATGTAGTTACTAAATAATAAAACAAAAGTATCTAATAAAACAAAAGTTAGATTTATTACCAATTATTCAATCAATACATACCATAAGTATCTGGTCAATTCAAGGAACCAAGATTTTTCATCAGTTGCTTTCATTATATAAGTATATACTGTCGTGCAGTTTGTATTTTTAGTATATCAGTAATCTGTAAAAGGGGAATTAGTCCTGAAAATAATAAACACGGTGGCGCTATACAGTTTCTTTAGCATAACATAGAGATGAGTAAAAACTACTATTCTGACAGAACCCACCACTTATTTTCAGGAACTACCACTACTTCAGACTATTCTCCTCTTTCTGTTTCATACTATACAGCCTCCGCTTCATTCAAATGTTTGAAATGAACGCTAAGATAGGACCCAAGATCTTCATGTTGAAGAGGATGGCAGTTGATCTCTTCTTTTTCCTGTTTTTATTAGCGGTAAATAAATTTGGATGGGGATTGTTTAAAGCATATAAGTGATACGAAAAGTTTGTATAGCAGGAGCTTTCAAAATTTAAATACATGTGTAAATCGTCTAAATACATTATTAGTTAACTTAAGTCGTTTACAAACTTAACATAGGTGGGTGATCAGTATAATACAAGGCCTGATCAGTGCGGATCCAATAAGTTTACGCGTCACCGAAATTGAATTACTTATTACTAAGTTACTAATTACTAATTACTAATTTGTGTTGTTCAGGTGTTCACGTTCTCCTACTGCGTTGCTTCAGAAGCCCTTTTGTACCCCTTCCACGACAGACCAGTCAATGAGACTATTTTTACAGCTTTCAGACGATCCTACTTTAATGTCTTCGGTGATTTGGACATTGAGGGACTTAGCAACCGCTTTGTCACAGGTATAGAAGCAGTTTTAATGCCAGATTTAGCTTTGATAAAATTCTCTAGTTCATTTTGTTTGCTTTATCATCATGCACATACGAAATTAGTACTACTACTAGTTTGGACTGATAAGATTATTTGCAAACCAAGTGCAGTTATCTGCACTGCAAAAATATATTAGCTAGAGAAGATTATGAAAATAATTTACCAACATATTGACAACAATTACCATCAATTACCAATTACAATTACCAACATATTGACAAAAATCTAAAATCAGGTCACTGCAACGAAAAGTCGTTCATGTACATGGAGTACCACGAATTTATCATGGAAAACCATCTGGATGGGACTATAGAGAATTTAACAGATTTACGAACCAGATGGGAGGAGATTAATGAAGAAAGATTGAAGAAATTGGAGGATAACTCGTCAAAGTCCATGGAAAAGCGCGAATCGGCGAATAAAGATCCACCTACATTTTTAGAATATACTGACGGTAAGATGAACTTATCGTTTGCGAATTTAGGATTTATTTTGTATCTTGCTAAACATCTTTTACTTCCTTGTGTTCAAAAAGGAACCCAATTTTCCATAAAGCTAGATTATCTACTAAATTTATGGTCGCTTAAACAATATGATCTTCAGATTATTGTGAGCGCTGGCCAGAGCATTCAGACGGTAACGATCCACTAGACCTTCTAGAAGATTCTCCAGTTGCCATCACAAACTATTACATATGTTTTATGCTGCTTTGTATATATGTACTCACAGTGAACATTATGTTGATCAACCTGCTCATTGCTATTTTCTCGAACACTTATTCTGATTCTAAAGCCAAATCGGGTACGTGGATTTTTGATAGCATGACTTTTTTGTTTTAAGTTCAAAAGATACTGATTGCTCGATTGTTAGTGGGCACTTGAGCTATATTAATTGTTCTGACACATGACACATTGATAGCCACTAACCCTTATCTTAGAAAAAAAAACTCTTCACCTTCACATATAAATCCAGTGAACTTATTAAGTTAATAAGTTCACTGGATTTATCTTAATGTGTTAATAATAATATTAATATTGATAATGCTAACCCATTGCAGGTATAATCTACAAAACACAGCGGGCTAGTGTAATAGTTGAGTTTGAAGAGAGACCGTGGCTGCCAAACCCTCTCAGTCTTATCTATTTTGCCTGTGTTTCTCCCTTCAAGATGCTGAAGAGTTGCTGTGGGAAGCAGCGGCGTTACAGCAGCGCCAGGAAGGGTAAACATGGAATTTATCGTGTGTTTTTTTTTTGATAATTGATTTTTAGATAGTAAAAATTTGTACAAAATTTGAACTAACTTAAAGTACAAATTATTGTAGTACAGAAATCTTTTTTGGAGATTTGAGTCTTTCACGCATTTATTTATCAGACAGTAGGAAAGCATCAGACTCTAATACAGCCGCTCGTGCGCGGAGAGCTCAACTAATAGAAGCTGAATGCATGGTGTTACACCTCAAAAAAGAAACCAACAAGAAGGATGGACTTGTCATTTTAGAAGCTCAGAACAAGAAAATTTCATCCGCAGTCGAAAAAATCGTTAGCGAATTGAAACAAATAACTTTAAAACAGCACAAAGAAACTTTATGGGTCTGACGACGAAGCGGCTCGGTATGAACGCTTTTGGGAGCACAGTATCCCAAGCCATGCAGGCTCATCAAATCCACAAATACTCAGTTCCGCACAAGTATTCCCTCACTCCAGACGGTTACTCTAAGTACGGCTTCACCCGGGTGCCGGTACCTCGGGATACCATAGACTGGGACACTCCATTAGACTTTTACGATCCGCCCGAATTCACAGACGAATCAGCCAACACAGACGAGCCATTGTACCCAGATAAACTTCAGTTCAATAATGATAATGGCACTGTTAATAGACTCAGTTATGATCGGCCATATCGTGTTGATATCACGGATCCTCTTAACGTTCACGGCCGGACGGGTTTGAGAGGAAGGGGGATTTTTCCAAGATGGGGTCCTAATCACTACGCTATTACTGTCGTCACAAGGTAAAGAGTTTTTAATTACTACGCTATTACTGTCGTCACAAGGTAGTGAATACATCCGTCCGCATAATGAATAATTTATAATTTATAATTTTTTTTTTTTTTATCAATAAACTTTCAAATTGTTACACAAATACATCATTTTATTTCAAAGAAAATATCGCCGAATGACCTTACATGCCTTGACAAGTGACCGAGTGTAAACAAAATAAGGGACACCGAAACACCAGTTGACCAGTAAACTGATCATAGCAATTACATCGGGCCCTAAATGCACCTATAAGTGAAGCGATGCTGCAACCAAGGCATGCTAGGTTTATTCCATTGAACTAATAAGGTTACAGCCTAAAATATAAATATAATAAATAACAATGTACCATAAATCATAATTATAAACACACTTTATTTAACATATTTTATTAATTATACTTCATATCAATTTATATTTAGACAATATAGTTACATTAAGGTAAATTATTTAACTGTCAGAGGATGTTATATGGTCGTTTAGAACTGTCCAGAGGTACTTAATTAAATGGGTTTTAAACACGGATGGCCTTGAGATTTCCCTTAATTCATAAGGGAGTTTATTCCAAAGAATGTGTGCTCTGTAAAAGTAAGACTTAGATATGCCTGAACATCTGGTCTGGCTTGACGTAAGGTTTTGTGGAACTTGAGGAGAAATGTCACTAATCATACTGAGATCGTCTAGATGTGATCGCCTTAACCTACTTCCCATGAAACGTCGTAAGTAAGGTGGAAATGTCACAACTGACATGTCATAAAAAATATTATGAAAATATAATATATCCTTGTAATCAAACCTTACCGAGAGTGGAAGGATATTTAGTTCCTTACACGCTATGAAATACCTTTTTTTGTCCCTAAGGCTCAAGTAAATATCATTAAGGATCCACTTGATACCTCTTTTTTGTATCGATTCAAGTTTCTCCACCGAGGTTTCTGAATGAGGCCGCCAGACAATTGTGCAGTGTTCGAAATGACTTCTAACCTGAGATAGATAGAAGGCCCGACGTTTTTTAGTGTTCTTGGTGAAGTAACATGTTCTTTTTAGAAGGCCTAACCTCTGACTAGCCTTAGAGTATATCATATCACAGTGATGTGACCAATCTAACTTACTATTGATATGTACTCCAAGATCTTTTTCAATGTCTGTGTATTCGATAGCCGTTTCATTCATTGAGTACACAAAATTAACACTACGATTCATAGAATATGCTCGGGTAATAGAAAGAACGTGACTTTTTGAAGGGTGAAACACCATCTTATTATGATGAGCCCAATTTTGAAGACTGTTAATATCCCGCTGGAGCAGCCAATGGTCATCCTGGGACGTGATTCTACGCCATATTTTTGTATCATCAGCATACATGGTTATATTTGTTTCCGTTGACAAATCCTCTGTAATGTCATTAAGAAAAAGTATAAATAAAGTAGGCCCTAAAATTGAGCCCTGGGGGACACCTGATCTAACCTGACAGGGAGCAGACATTTTATTTCCAATGACAACCCTTTGGTATCTGTTTTCAAGGTAGCACTTGAAGAATCTCAGTAGAGATGCATCAATGTTATATTGTTCTTTGAGCTTCAACAGAATTATGTCGTGGTTGACAGAATCAAAAGCTTTTTGGAAATCAAAGTATATTATGTCAGTGCGAACATTGTCATTGAGAGATAGGGCTAAGCTGTCACAGAAATTTACTAGCTGAGTTGTACATGATTTCCTACTCATAAAACCATGTTGACGTTGATCAATAAGATGTTCACATCGATTGAGCAATTCATCCCGGATTACTTTTTCGTAAACTTTCATAATAATGCTTGTCAGAGAAATTGGCCTATAGTTGTTAACTTCAATTTTAGAGCCTTTTTTATGAACTGGAACAACGTTTGCCATTTTCCAATCTGCTGGAATACATCCAGTTTTATAAGAAGCTTCAAAAAGGATAGCAAGAGGCTTAGACAGGCTCACTGAACAGTACTTTAAAATTCTTCCATGGATATTGTCGGCCCCTTGCGCTTTACTTGGATCAATATTTTCAAGTAAACCTTTGATTTTACAAGTGTCGAAATTGACCTGAAAATCACGGTCACTGGAAAAGTCGATATCTATATCATAATCACTACCCTCTGTAAACTGTTCGTTAAAATATTTATTGAATAACTCACACTGTCCTTGCGGATCGGACCGTAGGCAACCATTGTAGCTGACTGTTTCAGGAATGCGATTAGAGTTTGATTTAGATTTCACAAAAGACCAGAACTTTTTGTTAATGAGATTTCTGTTATCATCATCTTCAAAGTTTGCGTCCAATTTTGCATCAACGAGATTTTTAAAATCCCTCCTAGCTTTGGAAAATTTTAAATATTTTTTTGGATTAGAAGACTGTTTCCATTCGTCATGTAGTCGCTCCTTTTTTCTACATAAATCAAAGACATCTGAGTCAAACCATGGGGGTTGAAATTCATCGGAGACAGATATCTTAGGAATATGTGAATTACAATGAGAAGTGAAAATAGTATTGAAAACTGACCAGGCCTCTTCGACTGGTTTACCACTAAGTAGATGTTCCCAGTTTTCAGAATTCAGTGCATTATTTAAATTGGTCCAATTGGCCCTTTTGAAGCTATAGATTTTTCGTTTGGTAGACTTTTTCTTTCTAGCGTTAAGTCTTATGTCAAATCTTATCGCATAGTGATCCGACCCACAAATACCATGTTTACTGTCAACAATTAATTCTGATATAATTTCTGGCTTATCCGTCAAAACTACATCTAGATAAATTATACATTATAAATTTATAATTTATAATTTATAATTTATAATTTATAATTTATAATTTATAATTTATAATTTATAATTTATAATTTATAATTTATAATTTATAATTTATAATTTATAATTTATAATTTATAATTTATAATTTATAATTTATAATTTATAATTTATAATTTATAATTTATAATTTATAATTTATAATTTATAATTTATAATTTATGATTTATAATTTATAATTTATAATGTATAATGTATAATGTATAATGTATAATGTATAATGTATAATGTATAATGTATAATGTATAATGTATAATGTATAATGTATAATGTATAATGTATAATGTATAATGTATAATGTATAATGTAAAATTTTCAGATGGTACCGGGCTGGAACCGGTAAGCAAGTTCACAGCAAAGAAAGACCAGTTATGGAAGTTTTACTTCTAAAAGACAAGAGCGAAGAGGACAAATACTTTCACATACCATCTGTTCAGGTATTTTACAAATACTTTCACATACCATCTGTTCAGGTATTTTACAAATACTTTCACATACCATCTGTTCAGCTATTTTGGTCAACTTGAAGCTTCTTTTCTAATCCAGACTCTTTATATTTTTAAACAGTGTTCCCTGTAAAAAAAAGAGAAAAAAGAGGCCAGTTTCAATCATTAGGCTTACTGTATCCAAGGTTCTAATACGGGACCTAAAATAAATTGCTGCAATGCATTACTCATCTACGGTTGACGAAATGGTTCAATCAATGATAACTTGAATTTGTTCTGCAGCACTGCAATTAAGAAACAAATCCCCAGATCGATACGAACGACCCGAATAGATTCCAGAGTAAGCTGTTTCTTAAGAAGATGTGTTTCAACACACAGCAGTACAGAAAATCTGATAATGATACTCATACGAAAAAGAGCATGTTCAGGAATTTGGCCATGGCCAGCCAAGATGATCCTGAACTTGATCGAGCTTTTCAGAAGCAGAAACAAGTTAGTTTTATTGCTTATTTTTTCATGTACAGAAGTGAAAAGTAAATCATGATTAAGAAATTAATAAGGTTTAATTAAGGCTAAAAAGGCATTTAAAATTTATAACCGTCTAAAACTAAATTAAACTAATGTAGGTGTATCGGGGTTATTTTGATGATATCCACAACACTGATAACGCCTGGATGGAAGTGGATGTTATAAACGTTCACTTTGAGAAACCGCTTGCAGACAGACCTTTGGAGGTTTTTATTTCTTCTGCTTATATCATTTTAAATTCTTATATGCATCCATTGTTTATTTTGATTATTCATAACCGTATTCTATTCAAATACGTAAACCTTTGACCTTAGAGTGCAAATGGCTTTACAAATCTGGAGAAAATCCTGGTATCTTTGTTATCTTATTTTCAATTTTGTAACCCTTAAACTACTCGTTCTTGGTGTAATTTTTTTCATGATTAGTTACTTATTTCAGCCTGGGTCTCAGATAGCTTTAGCTTGTTGGCAACGGCTGGACAGCAAGGTTCCTGTTCACAACAATGAAGCGTGGCTGCTGAAGAATACTTGTCATATAAACAAAGCCTTCAATCCGTACAGTGGGGAATCGCTCCTGTGACAAGAACAGTCCGTACCATTTTATAAAACTTCTAGCTCAGTCTAGGAAATTCGGTATTACGAGCTATTGCTGGAATCAGTGGCCAAACCTTGTACCTGTTTTGATTTTGATTTTTGTTAGTTTAAGTATTTTAATGAACTTGTATGAAAGCGTTGGGTTGACTTTTTCTTTTAAATGGACATTATTTTTTATTCGGCAAGTGAAATTTTAATGCCACTTAGTGCCAATAATAAATGTGATATTTCATATAGACTATAGATGTTTTGTTTAAGCTGTGAAATTATAACAGTGCTATACTATATTCGATTGAAGTTAACAGGCTTGACTGAATAAGAAATGGGATTTAATTCCCAGAAGCTCAGTCAAATTACGATCGTACAATATATCTATATTATTACGTTAAGTTCTGTGAATGAGATTAAGGGAAACAATTGATGTAATTTTTCTATTTATGAGTTCCAGTACGATTAAGTATTGGTAGTGTCGATTTTTATGATATCTGTTGAATGTCTGGTTTCAAAATTTCCGTATAACCTTTCGTGATTTTGAAGTCTTGTAAGAATTTTGATTTTTTTAGAATTTGAATGATCGTTACTTCCTGAGTATTAGTACTAGTTAACAATTACTTCGACGCCATGAATTAGTACAAAATAAATACAAAAAACACTCGCTAGACTTCTAACGTCTTTGCATTATAATTATGCGTGGTAAGTCAAATACAAAAGAACTAGCTAATATATTATAATGAATTTAATTTGGCCTTACTCAGTTACTGCAGACTCCTTCTTCAGTTTTACGTTCCATACACCAATTCGAAAGGAGTGAGTTGCTCGTTAAGTTGAGCAATTGTCTATCGTTAATAATAATATGTAATACCTAATATGACTAACCCAGGTCGCGCTACTTCGCGAAGTAATTAGTAAAACTAAATCGCCTCTAGCTGGATATAGTATATACATATAGCTTAGTAGCCGGCTAAGAGTATGACTGCATCCTCTATAGTCCGTCAGAATAGAAATTTATATAGGGGTTGTGTACTATGTACCAGTAAATAGGAATTTGACTCTGACGGATACATCTACTTTCGCATCGGAAGAAACACAAACATATAACAGCCCTCTCTATATATAGCTATTTTCTAGTTCTACCTGTGAGCTAGCGAGTGGCGATGCTGAAGTACAAAACTTAACTTCTATGAAGTTTCCCTTTCGGTGCTGTTTTCAGATCAGATTACTAAAACTCTTTTGCTATGGCATATGGGTAAAGAACCCTTGTATCACGTCGTGACCCCCATTGTCGTTTTACTAGTAAGCGTTTTACTAGTATCGTGACCACGATAAGCCGCGCACTCATGCGCGGCACGTCTACTATACAACGTATGACAAAGAACCCACAACCATAGTATCTCAACTAACAACTTCAACCGCGTCTGCACTTGTCATACGTTGTATGACCCGCCGCGCACGATCGAGTGCGCGGCTCCCCCTGTATGAGTATCGTTGATACATGTTTCGTATCCTTCGGCGGCGCGCGCTTCGCGCGCGAAAAGTGGCATGCAACGTATGTCAAGAGTATCGTTGAAACTCTACAGTGAAGCGATCCGACAGTGGGCCGGGGTCACCACGTGATACAAGTTTGCACGTAGTACGTGTACCGTAAGCACATCATTAGGTACGTAACGGTAAACCACAACCACGAATTTAAACTTAATTTAAACTGCAATCTTTAAATTGTATGCACTATTATATGCAATACAAAATACTTATTGATCGATACGATAACCGATATTAAAGGCATTTGCATTATTTATATTGTTTGAAATTTTAGTTGTAGGTTTATACAACCTACCAGGACGCGCGCCGAGTTGGACTCGTCGACGTCAATATATGGAACAAATATTTTACGAGTATCACCGATTAAAATTTTAGTTGATTAGTTGATATGTTAACAGGTGATACTTTTGATTCACGATGTCAATCCTTCGCATCTCGCCGATCTGCATACGTGGTTGCGAGAACAGAGAAGCATTATCAATTATTTGATGCGCGCGCGACCCAGCAGTGCATCGCGACCCAGCAGTGCATCGCGACCCAGCAGTGCATCGCGCTACAAGTAAAGTGATACTCGTAATATTGAATATATAAAATATCTGTTCCATATACAGGACCGTCGACGAGTCCAACTCGGCGCGCGTCCTGGTAGGTTGTAAACCTACAATTGATATGACATAGCTAGATACGTGCGTTTCAGAACAATTATGAATCAGTGGCTGATTCATCATTTGTTTCAAATATCAGACACCTTGCACGGCCCGCGCGTAAATATTTAGACCGTCAACCCTGCGCGTGTTTAATTGTTAGGTTATAAGCCAATTCAATTCCTTTCCAATATAACTGATAACAGGAAAGTTGGGAATTTATAGTAAATTTCCAATTATTCCAAAAAAGCTAAGGCAAAAATTTTATTTTTTGATGTCCATTGTTAAATGTTAATAAATTAATACATTCGTGCATTTTTTGATTTTTTGTTCATACGTTTTGAAAAAAATTAAACGAGTATCAAATTTTTAAAATTTTTGGTCAAAGAAAAATTTGACCATTGTTAATGATCTGGCCCGGCGCGCGCTACTTCGTAGCTCGTGCCATAACATTTCGAGAAGAAAGCGGCGCGCGCTACTTCGAAGAAATTTAGACGAGTAACATGAACATCCGTCAAAGAAAAATACGCAACTTCATCAATTTTGAAACGTTATCTAATCAAAAGACACAAATTTTAATTATTAAATTGTATTAAACGCGTGCAGTGTGCACGTGCGCCAATAAGCGAAGTGCGAACTTGCATGCGCGCGCAAGCTAGGCGCGTTATAATATCAGCTGCAGCTGACGCCGAGTAGGGTGTTTTGGCCGTTCTAACTTAAGACTTTTATGAATTAAAGCAGCCGTATTGATCTTCCAAACCTACAACTTTCAAGGGCTACAATTCGCTGTATTTTGCCGTTAAAACACAACTTGTACTGTTTAACTTCATGATTGGGCCGTAATTCAAAAGCAAGTTAAGAGCGACCATGGTCTTAAGCGACAGACAGCCTGCAGGCATATGATCCGAATACGAAATATCCTTGTGTTCGGCATTTAATAGCCCTAATTGGTCACTTCGTACCCAGGAAAAGTTACCGGCTGGTGGTGGTACTAGAGTTGGTTTAATTTAAACATGAAACAGACGGCTTGACCTCGCGCGCGACAACAAGCATGATTTGCACGCGTGGCGTATTCCAATGTTCAGGCAGCTACCACGTGACACAATTCAGCCAACCAGAGTACAGAAATCGGCAAAGTTAAAGTTGCAAACTTTTGATCGGCCCGAAAGGGTACTTTTCTGGAGATTTTGAGATAACTCAACAATTACGTTGTCTTGAATTTTCCTCCTGGAGAGGTAACGTTACTTTTAAAAGAGGAACATGTTACAAAAAACCGGAACACGGAAGTCTCCAACTCTTTTACTTTCAAAGTTAAGCCCCATCCGGTCAGGGTTCCTGGGATTATATAAACATAAAATTGTTGTAAAGCTAAACGGGTAATACTCCTAATATATTTGTTTCAAATTTTACATATTTTGTTCGCGATTTTATATATAATAAATAATATGAACTCTTACACTTGACATTTACTGGGCCGGAATATACATTCATTCTGGGGTTTAAATTATTACTTTTGTCAACATACCATGTCAGACGCTTTGAAGTCGGCAATTTTTATTTTTAATCATTAATAATATCGGTTGTTGATAAATAATAAGCGGGATATAAATGCTTTATTCCATTTCATTTTATTTCAAATATTAAACCTTCGACCGCAACGAGTCCAACTCGGCGCGCGCCGCGCGCGTCTTGGTAGATTATAAACCTACAATGTAAAGCAAGATATCACAACATTTAGTAACACACTCGGCCGCGCGGTAATGTTGTTTGTAAATGTTGTATGGGCATTTTACTTGTCACTACAGTACGTGCGATCGATCAAGCAAAATTTAAAAGTTACAATTATACAATTTACGTTAATAATATTTGGAAGACTTCGCCACTTCGACGCGCCGCGCAGACTAGTATTCTTGCTTCGCATCAAGATCGTTGCTCTGCTTCGCAAAGCAACGATGTGGAAAGGTTAGTAACGTCGATCAATGATAATATTTGATAATTACAATTATCAAGGTATAGGAGGGAGGTGTTCTCTTTAATTGACAATGTCAATTCATCGCAGCTCGGCGAGGCACCGTAGCGCATTTTGCCGATCTAGCGAGAAGCATAATTGAATGCGCATAATTGAGTGCGCGGCGCGGCACAGTAACGCATCGCGCTACAAGTGTTCTCTGTACACATATTGTATTGTAATCGTGTTTTAATATCAAGATCCTGGTAATGAGATCGTCTCCCAAAAGCAAGACCTATATTATGAGATGTGAAGTCTTGATACAATATTGCTTACGCAGCATACCATAAGTCCAAATTTAACCGCCAGTAAGATTTTTCCGATGGTTTGGTCTGCAACATTACTTTTAATATAATGATGTGTGTTGGTTGCACTGAGGAGTGGGGGCCTATGTAATGTTATGCGTCTTCAGTCGATCTTCATTCATTCATTCATATCAGGTTGCTTTGTGTCACATTTCGGGGCATTTCAGAATAATGAAGTTGTATTGAGACTGCTTGTCAGAAGTGCTCCTCTGATGGCATCGTCAATTGTAAAATCGTTAGATAGCTAAGCCCCTAAAAAGTATGGCGGGATTCACTACCATTATGTCTATTATTTAATAATAACAAACTTAAACTCCACTGAAGTTGTCACAATGAGTAGAAACTTACGTCTTTGCACAGACTTAGATTATAGGATAAACAATTATGAACAACTGATAAGTCAGTTGTGGTTCTTTTACTTCTCATGAAGATACGAGGTATTACCATATTATGTATTGAAAAGGGAGCATCTTATCAGAATGGGGCTTAAGTGTTTTCATTTGAAGGCTTAAAAGCATGATATCAACCTGATCACATTACTTGAACTGTTGTTATGATAAATTGCATTCAGCAACACATTAACAGCCTATTATTTTTATTTATTATTTATATAAATTATTCATTATGTTCATTAGTGGCAGAAATTGTCACAGCTTAATGTGTTTTATTTCACAAGCTCAGCACAACTGAACAGGGAGTATGGTTAAAGTAAGTTGTAAAAAGTGTACTTATATTAAGTCACGGCTAATTCTTTGATAATATTATTCTATGTATGTGACTGTGAAAAATTGGAATCAAATCTAATATTACAGGTAAAATGGCTGCAATTGTGCGTCTGCTGTGTTCAGTGTTGGGGTACAACACTTCTGTGGTGCTTATTCTAACATTTCTTCTCATTTGTCTTGGACTCTTCTCTATTTTCCTCAATGGAAAGTTATTGTTTACTTGTAGGTATCAAAGCTGCAACATTGCATTGATTAACATTTGCACTGGGGTCAGCGTTTTTCTGTTTGGGGTGGCACTAGCTATAGATTATGAGGATTATAAAAGTGGGGCCCCTTTCAAAGATGGATTTTCGTTGACATTTGACTGGGACAACATGTCATCTTTTACTCTTGCTTCATTTGTGCTGCATCTGCTGAGCCTTAAAACAGTTGTGTTATGTACAGTGGCTCAAGCTAAGACATCATCTATTTATTTCAGCAAAAGTGATAGTCAGTTACTTGCGCCATTAATTTCACTCTGCTCCAAGATCTCTGGTTCTGGATGGTTTCTTATTGTTGTCACATACACGTCTATTGAAGTGGCTTACAGATTAGTGTATGGCGGAATTGGTGCTGGCCCAGAAATTTATGGCGATGTGAAAATGATTCAAGATGAAAGGAATTTAGTCGACATAGCTATGTCAATAATATTACCATGCTTTATTCCTGCTGTGATAGGTGTTAAACTGATGTTTTTAGCTAAGGCTCCTGACTTCAAGGTCAAATTTGCTCATGTAACAACTTTTTTGTCAATTCTATCTTGTCTTATGTGTATTTTGAGTTTTTTGTCTGATATCACTTGGTCAGGCTATAGAGTGTACTATCCTTTGAAGTCTTTTATTATTGGTTTAATTTCTCAATCTTTATTTGGCATGGCTTTCCCTTTAATATATGATTACTATCATGCTTCAGGGGGATACAAGCTTGTTGACGTACATGACCAGTAACACATGTTTAACCAGATTATCACTCATGGATTTCTATTTTAAGCATAAAATATAACTTTATTTAACATTTAAATTTGTTCAGATTTATTAAATTCCATGATGATCTATACATTTGCTTTGAAAATGATTTGATCCTGTTTTTAATGTTGCTTGATGAAATGTTATCTCTCACGAATTTTACTCAGTTGTTGTTTTATTCCTCTGTTTTCCTCTGCCTTGGTTTATTGTGGTGTTCTACCAAAGCAAAGGTTTATTTATCACTCAAATCACTTACAAATTTACTTAGTCTTAAAGTTTAGAATTATGTCTTGATTTAACACCAAGAGATTTAAGTGATGCAATGAAAGTGCACAATGTCTAAAATCAAAACCAATTCATGCACTAGATGATTTCTGAATTGAACACAAGTTAATTAAGTAACACTGTATCACATATAAAATTAGGCCCGATTAATCTTAATAAAATTCTAATTCATGAGGACATTTATTCTAAAATCCATTAGGAGTATAAGTTACTTAAAATTAAATAAACTATACTTAAGTCATCGTCAAAGTGTGACTTAAGTCATACTCATAGTGTGACTTACGCCTGTGTTCAAATAAATAGACAGACTGAGACATATGGGCTGCACTATGAGCACTCTACTTGTATTGTAAGCACTAGTTTAGTCGATTGATCTGCACCTCTTAATATATCTCTATGACTATCTATCGAATTTGTTGTGCATACATAACCATTGCCATTTCACATAAAACGGTAAAAACTTAACAAACTTGCTTTATCCTCTAGGGTTCTGATGTAGATGTAAACAACACAAGGACTAAGAAGTCTCGATGAAGATGGTGGACAAAGAGAACCAACCGAAAGGTAAGAATTCTTGTCAATAATTAGGAAATTACGTGTTAATATATCGAGCCAGTAACTGGTATCACTGCAGCTACTTTTCTCTCCTGTGCCGGCCTGGGGAGGATAGTCTGTTCTGAAGCCTGTAACTGCGTTAACTATTTTATAAGTCTGCACTTGACTCGGTCAGTTCACACAGACATCGACAGTTGGGGCACATGTCTGAAAATTAGATTCGCTGCAAAAATAGCTCACAAAAACGTGAGACAAATTTACAAATTGCGATGACTAATGTTTACGGCTTGTTTTTTTATCCGACATTCGTCAGTGTGTTTAGTTATATATTTTATAATAATGAATACTCCAATAGTCGCTGTTATCCCCAGAATATCGTTAAATATCGTAAACTTTTACTTAACTACACCTTTACTGCAGATGTTCGTTTGATGAAAAGTTTAGTGCTAAGATATTTGCATCGCAGACAGATTTAGTTTTCGAGGCTACCCTGTGACATGCACTTTCAAAATTGGGCTTTCATCTCATTTTAGAGACGCGCTTTCTGTTTTGTATTTCAATTCTACGGTATTCTTGGTTTCGAAATAAGCTTGAAATGTAAATTATATAAACTTAAGAGTTAAGAGTCATGTTTTAAGTTCATTCATCTCAGCTCACTGCGTTATTTCTTGTATATCTTCGCGATTAAAATGTAATTATAAAAGACAATGTGTTATCGTTTTCGGATAACAGTTATATTATTATAGTCTTCAGCAATTAAAGACAAAGCAAACATATTTGCTGCTCAATCGGGTTATCTGCCCTGTAATTTTCGAAGGTTTCCCCGTGTTTTCTGTATATGACCGCAAACGTGAAAATCGGTAAAAAATTAGAACGTTGCATGATTACTCATTACAGTGCAGTACAGAAACGTGCAATTGCACGTGCAAAACTTATTGGGTTGCATTTTCTCGTTATTCATATTGTGCACGATGATGGTCGAATATAATCGTATCTTAAAATTGTCGTCTGACACTCAAAAAAGTCAGAAATCATGAACCTCTAAAATTCTTTTTCTTCATTCTAGCCATATTTTTCCAGACAAGGTATTTATTATTGATCTCCTGTCTGGCGTTTGGCATATTCTTAGTTAGCGAGCAATATGGTCAATTTGTTTCCTTGGCTTTCTTTTAGAAATTTAATTTAAACTATATAAATTCTTCTTTTCGTTTAAAATGGACATTTGCCACTAGTCATAGTATCAGGTAACGAGTTCTTGAGACCGGGTCGAGCTAAACTCATAAGTTGGGTCACCTCAAACTTCTCAACACCACACATATTAGCTTTATAATCGCCTTATAACAGCCTTATAACTGATTTTTAACTGCCTTATAACCGCTTTATAACCGCCTTATAACCACCTTATAACCACCTTATAATCGTCTTATACCTGACTTAAAACCGACTTTTAACCGCCTTTTAGCCGCCTCTTAACTGCTTTATAGCCGCGTATAACCGCCTTACAACCACCTTATAACTGCCTTATAACCGCTTTATAGCCGCTTACAACCGCCGCGCTTTATAGCCGCTTATAACCGCCTTATAGCCGCTTTTAACCGCCTTATACCTGTCTTTTAACCGCCTTACAACCGCCTTTGAACCGCCTTATAACTGCCTTATAACCGCTTTATAACCGCCTTTTAACCGTCTTACAAAGACCTTATAACCTTCTTATAACGGTCTTTAAATAACTTTCTTACTTAACTTACCTTACAAAAACAAGACATGGTAACTGGCACATGAATCAGTAGGAATTAGGCAGGAGCACAGTTGTCTGAATTGATATGTTAGGTGTTCCACCGGACATGTGTGTAGTTCTGTAATTAGGTGTAAATTGCAGGCATTTCTTTTTCTTCTGCGGCGTTGTAAATAGTTGTATGTGGGGGTAGTTCATTGTCTGTGGTCGTGCTTCTTCCGCTCAAACCTGCATTCCTACTACAATCTACCCAACGTGTATTATAATTAAAATCTACATCTCTACATTTTTGTAGCTTTCTTTGATAGGACACAGATTGGAAATTTAAGTTAAATTGTTGTACAGTGAAATGCTGCGTAATTTCTAATGGAACTCACATTTCAACAATATGAACTGTTCCCATGAAGTTACTTACACATGTCCTGTACATTCCGACTAATGTGCTCTAAATGTATTGTGTACAATGTACATTGTACACATGTATATAATTTCATTCAACATGCACTGTATAATAAGCAGTTTTTGTGTGAAATGTACAGTGAGGAGCTGCCAACTACCTTTCACACTATCACCAGCTCCCTAGCTGTAGCTCCTTGTTACTGATACCAGTACATTATGCAGTGCGCAACCCATTATGAGTAAACGAGGTTTAAACGATTGTTCTAAAGTTCCGTAGTACTGTAGATTGTAGAGTGAATTGGAGGCTCATGAATTTAGATTGCAGTTGTGTTTGTGTAGTTTGTGTAGTTTGTGTAGTTTGTGTGTATCGTGTAGTTTGTGTATCGTGTAGTTTGTGTGTATCGTGTAGTTTGTGTAGTTTGTGTAGGTTGTGTAGTTTGTGTGCTCAGTCTGATCTCGTTTATTAATTTTTAAGTACTTTGTTGGAGTACAATTAGTGTTTTTAAAGTCTTATGGGGGGGTTGCAACGACCATTAATGTCAGTAGATGGAATTTTGTCAAAACTGACATTGTCATTAATGGTCATTAATGGTCATTAATGGTCATTAATGGTCATTAATGGTCATTAATGGTCATTAATGGTCATTAAATAATTGAAATTCTGATAGTGAGTCAGATTTCGTCGCACCAGATAGTGAAAGTGAAGACAAGGATCTTCATGACTTAGTTACTATAAAAAACAAGAAAATGAACAAAAACACCGCTATTACGAAGTTCTGTAATTTTGGTAAGACGATGTTTGGAAATAAAAGTCGGAGATCGAAATTTTTTGGTACCGGCTGTTTCGAGGGTTCTGTGCCATACCAACCGGGCTGCAAAAATTCTTCTAAGCCCTGTCAACGTCGAACAATTCGAAAGGGCGACTCATTAAGTGCTACCTTTGTTCCAAAAAAGGCTAAACGTCCCCTTCGTTGCCTCGGTACCATCTTATCAATGAGTGTCTCTGCTTCAAAAAAGGGCAACTGCAGATCTAGACGAATTCCTGCCGCATCAATTTGTCCCTATCATGATGACAGTGCTCGATTTTGGGTCAAAACTGCCGAAGGCAGAGTATTGAACTGTAAACGAATTGTTCTATCTAATCCTAGGAAAAGATCAGCTTTTTTGTTGTCCGATTCAGACTGATGACGATGTATTTTATGAAGTGCTAAAGTTGAATAAGTTCATCTACTGTGTAATTACTATATAATCGACTAGCATAATGATTTGGCTAAAATATAAATCTTGATATGATATAAGAACGGGAACGAAGTATTTAATTTTAATACCCGTGTTATTATTATTTTATTATTGATTGTTATTTTACTATTGATACGATCTGATACTCCTAAATTGCCCTTTACTGATGTGTCAAAGGATGAATCAGCCTTTACTGTGTGAGGCACTTTGTTCCACAGCTTCGGTCCTTGAACTGCAAAAGACCTGTCGTACAGTGACTGGTTGCGTAAGGAACTTGACTTTGACAATGAGGGTATGACAGCTACATCCCCGTGTCTTGGGGTCACCTTGAATTTGATATCACAGCAGTTTGGTACCACATTATGGAGAATCTTCCACATCATCAGGATGATATACCTCTCCCGTCTGCGCTGTAGAGACATCAATTTAAGCTGTACGAGTCTTTCCCAATAGTTGAGATGTTGCAGACCGCCAATACGACTGGTGAAAGTTCTTTGCACCCCCTCTATCAGCTGTATTTCAGTCACCTTGGTAGGGCTCCAGAGTGGGCAGCAATACTCTAGTAAGCTTCTTACTAGTGACTTGTAGAGAGTAATCATTACGGTCTTGTCGCGAGTTTTGAACACACTGAATACCCAAGATCCTCCTTGCTTTGGGTACCATGTTGCCGATGTGTGTCGACCAGCTAAGATCACTTGAAACCATAACTCCAAGATCTCGGACGTTTTCGACAGGATAAAGTATGTCCTGACTGGATACTTTGTAACGCAGTGTTTCGGCAAAGAAGGGTAGTTCGGGGAATGAGCTCTTACTGTTATGGAGGTGATTTAACAGCTCGAACTTCTGCTCGTGAAGCTTCATGTTGTTGCTACGTGACCAGTCAAGAATCTTATAGATATCTTCTTGTAACAACTGACAGTCTTCAAAACAGCCAATCTGTTTGGAGACTCTAGTATCATCGGCGAAAAAACTCACCCTAGATGAGTCCACTACTTGTTCTAGATCATTGATGAACAAGATAAAGAGAAGCGGCCCCAAAACGCTTCCCTGGGGAACACCACTTAAAACCTTTGCGATAACCGAGTGAACTCCATTAAGCACCACGACTTGTTCGCGATCAAAGAGAAAGGACTTTATCCACTCTATGAGCTTGCCATGAAACCCATATTTTCTCAGCTTGTGAATGAGAAGATTTAAGTCGACTTTATCGAACGCCTTAGCGTAATCCAGATATATAGAATCTGTATCTTCACCACGAGTAAACCCTTCGTAGATGTCGTCAAAATGGCCGAGCATTTGAGTCAAGCAGCTCCTATTCGCTCTGAAACCATGCTGCTTATCGGTCAAGAGACTGTTGGCTTCCAAATACTCCACCATATGTTTCCTTACCACTCTTTCATACACTTTTACAACATGGGAGGTCAAAGTGACAGGTCTGTAGTTTCCAGCTTCACATCTACTGCCTTTCTTGAATAGTGGCGAAACATAACCCGTCTTGTAGAAGCTTGGCACTATACCAGATGACATGGACTCTGACCACATAAGATAAATCGGGACACTAAGGCTGGTAGCACACCTTTTGAGAAGAATAGCTGCCAGCTGGTATTCCATCGGGTCCAGGGGCAGAGTCTAGCTTAATTTCAGATATAGCTTCCATGATACTATCAGGTGTTAACACAATGTCATTGTCTCTACTGATAAGGGGTGGTACCGCAAATGTAGGGACTGCTGTGTCGGGACAGGTAGGGTCGCTGAAAACGGAGCAGAACTGTTGTTGAAGGATGTTGGCGAGTTCTTTCCGTTCAGTGACTAGTTCCTTATTGTCGTTCAGGAGGGTAGAGATGTTGTGTTTCACTTTGTTGTGTTTCACTTTGAATTATTATTATTGATAACTATAAGTCACCAACTGTTATCTGGTTTAAATCCCGTGGCCGCAAAATTTGTTCTTCATTACATTCGAACTTAATAAATGTAATCCCTAACTCACTCTGGAATCCACTCAAGTGATATTCTGGAAGGTCTGCCTAACCACGGAAGATTCTATTCTAAGTTTTCTCTTTCGAATCTCTAATTGTAAATGTAAAATAATAACATATACTTGTAGTTAGTTAACTTAAGGTAGGGTCTAAGTGATGCAGGCGTCCGTCCTTTTCGCTCTAAGAAGTGCCGGAAAAAACATGACCATTAATGTCAGTAGATGAAATTTTGACAAAACTGACATTGTCATTAATGGTCATTAATGGTCATTAATGGTCATTAATGGTCATTAATGGTCATTAATGGTCGTTGCAACCCCCCCAGTCTTATATACGATTACAGTTTGAATTCGTTAAATCTTGTATTTTTTTCTTATTATATCAGAAGATCTGAAAATTTCGTTTGAAAACAGACAAAAAACATGATTTCCTCGCCGATTTTCTTTTTTGACCTATCTTGATAATATTGTCACCTTATGTTAAGTAAGACAAAATAAGAGCTGATGAATGAGAAGGTAGAATGGTGCTGAATGAGAACGAATTCTCCTTACCCTCAACCAAGTTCTGTGAAGGTAAATTTCTTGAGGTAACTTGTCATTTAAAAAGAGCTTTATGAATAAAGTATGCTTTTAACTACTGTTCACCGAACCTTGACTGCGGCTTTGTTAACAAGGTTTGGCCGGTAGAGGGTCCGCAGTAGTCCCATTACCTTAGCATTACTGTACAACTACTACAAAAGTATGCCTACGTTGCTTCCCTATCTTGATGTTTCTCTTATATTTCTCGATTTAGACAAAACATGACAAATAAATAGACCAAAGTGTTGTTAACTCAATTAAGTTGTTGTAAGTTACAATGAGTTGGGAAGAAAGTGGACTCACAGTCACAGTGTTAAAATAACAGGGATAGACTACTACTAGACTGTAGTAATTATATAGTTACTATAAATAAAATCTAGTAAATAAATATAAAGACATACCTTATATTTATTTATTTATTCATTTTAAACATCGAGTTCTGACCCCATAAATCGACGGCCTATTCCAGTATTCCATCTTCTGTTTAAATCTATCAACAAATGTTTTATTTACTTACTATCCTGTCCATTCTAAAACGTGAAGCAGTTTTAACGCAAGCTCTACATTCTACAAGTAGTAGTGTAAAACAGTAAGTATATAGTAGTATAGTAGTGTAAAACAGGGCTTGGTAACGAATATCTGATCTCACTTTTACACCTCTGACTGCTTGTCAGTAACATTTAACACATACTGGCCAGTACGTTTACCAAAATTTTAAAGCAAGATCATTCCCTCCACATCAGACGAAACTAGAGTGGTTCATCAACTCTTTCAATTCAATATTTTGTAGAATGATTCAATCAAAATATGCCCTCAAATATAATAAAGCAAGTACCTTAGTCGGTAATATTAGGGGGGGTCTAATTTGGTTCTTTTCGGGCCAAAGAACCATATTTATAACAGTCCATATTTAATATTTTTAACACCCATAATTTTCCCCCCATAATATTACCGACTAAGGTAGTAATCTAAGAGTTTCAAGGTGACGTATCTCCGTGAGTCAGTGTGTTAACCTCGTGTTGTTGTGACCGCTCTTAGAGAAGCTACGTGTTAATTGGCCGCGATATTTATCATGATATTACAGTGTTGAAACAATACAATCATTGGGCCTTGTACGTGATATAATATAATAATACGTATGTAAACACGTGGTAAACACGTGGTAAACACGTGGCGCGCCCCTTTTAAACATGTGTTTACTTATTGCGTGTGTTTACACATCAAGTCTGAATACAATGAAGATAACTGTTAGATGATGATGTGTGCTGATCTATTATCTTTTTGTTAGGCAGTGGGAGGGAATTAAACATTAGAATGAGGCTGTCGTTAACTGACGACTATTATTATAATGAATATTCTTGGAAAATGAGAAGCGATTCAGGGTATTAATTTATACATTTTTATCATACATGATACAAAAAATAATTTTCTTTGAAAAGTTTCAAAAAGACAAGCTCCCCTTTGCACGTGTATATGGCCTGTGTATCAGAATATATAATAACCTGTTAGGCTGGTTCGATTTTAAGTACATTCCTTCAGCTTCATTAGACAATACCGTACGTATCTTATCTTCTATCACATATCTGTACTTTGAGGAGATAAGAGTCTTATCGTGATAAAACTCCATACCTCAATCATTGATCAAACAATCAGTCTTAAGAAGTGAAGAACCCCAGGTACCTCTACAGTAGAGTGGGCCGCTGTTAAAAACCTACATATTTTAGTATAAATGAGTATTCTGTAGAGCTGTAAATCACTGTTCCAGTACACAGTTAATTTGCACTAATTCACACTACCATCTTACATATAATGGGCTGTGACAGATACCACGCACAAATTGACAATATAAGTCGATAGACAGTTACTAAAACTTTTAAAATATGCCTACTTGCCTTGTTTGTGTACTGCGGATTGTGTCCTTATAGATTTGGGTACCAAATTGGCTGAGTACGTGACACGATACGTCAGCAGCTGTTTTCGCGTTGTCATTACGTTGTCATTACGTTGTCATTACATGTCAAGTAAGTAGGAAGTATGTAGGAAGTATGCAGGTACTTACACCTGATTAGTCTGAGTAGGTACGTGTAGGTATTCAATATTCATTCGTCAGATTGCAAAATTTTATAATTCAAAGGTCTCGGTACCCTCATTACAGCATACAGTGAAAGTTTTATCTTTCTGGCAGGCTGGCTTATTATACACATTAACTGCGGTACGTGTGAAAAGTTTGTCTGGCAGTTGTGCAGAGTAAAATAATTTGTGGACAACTCTAGATAAGCAAAGGGATGTAGACAATGTAATGGAAACGTTCAGGATAGGATTAATAGTAGCAAATCTCTGTCATCAACTGTACGACTAGACTGTACTAGTACATTTATTTGCATAATCTCGTGAAATAGCAGTGCGATATCAGCTATTATAGCAGCGCGATATAATCAGCTATACCTCCTGTATGATTGGATCTTTGTCAGATATTATACAATTAATTAATAATTAATTAGTTAATTGATTATTATACAATTAACCAGATATAAAGATAGCCCCCCCCCCCCCTCTCAGGTGTGCAGTTCCAGTTCAGGAAGCGCTACAGGAAAGTAGACTGGAAGCTGCTGGCCAATGTGGACGTTGATAAGATAACGAGAGAACTGGACTACCAAGCTCTGCAGGCTAATATAATGAACGTGGCTTTCTGCGACACTAACAGTCAGGTCAGTAGTTATACTAGTTTCAAATCAGATCCTATCATTATTGATCCTATGTTGTTCGACTGGAGGATCAATTTCAGAGTATATTTATAAAAATATTTACAGCTTACATGTGCCATGTGTCTACTGTTTTGATTAATTAAATAATAAATAATATAATAGTAAATTAATTAAACAAAATTCCACAGGACTTCGTGGAGGTAGACGATGATTTTATCAAGCTGTACAAGCTAGGCCAGTACACTATAGAGTACCTGCTACACTGTCAGGAGTACTTGTCACATGGTACCGTGGAACTGGAGTCTAAACTCAGGGAAGCAATGAGGGTAAGTACACTATTGAGGCTAAACTCAGGGAAGCAATGAGGGTAAGTACACTATAGAGGCTAAACTCAGGGAGGCAATGAGGGTAAGTACACTACAGAGGCTAAACTCAGGGAAGCAATGAGGGTAAGTACAACTATAGAGGCTAAACGCAGGGAGGCAATGAGGGTAAGTACACTGTACAGTATATATAGGCTAAAATCAGGGAGGCAATGAGGGTAGGACGATTAATTTGCGCTCTGTTTCTTAGTTATGTCATGTAAAACCGGCCTGGAATATTGTGCTTTCAGTGCTTTCATATTGAATTTAGAGGTTGTAGCGGGGTGTTTCTAGCGGCTGAGATATAGTTTTTAGATTTATTTATTCTTGAAGTTACTGGTTTAGTACCTAATTTATTAACACGTAGCACCATGTCATAATTAAAGTTCGAGTTACCAAAGTGTTGATTTTTAAAAAGAGAAATAAAAAATGTAATAATAACGTGGTATTTTCAGTTTCGAAATGAAGTGAAAGACAAATTGGAAGTGAAACAGAAAGAGCTGACGGATTGTAAGAAAGAGAGTAGAAAGAGAAAGAAGATGATAGCTGTTTACCAGGTTGGTTGAATGTGACGTTAATGTGAGGTAAACGCTAATTAAACATAAGGTAAACTCTAAGTAAACATAAGGTAAACACTAGGTAAATATGAGGTTAATGTGAGGTAAAAACTACTGTAGAAATGTGCTGATATATTGCAGATCTGATAGTATTATGACTGTTATATAACAGTTTTAAACCACTGCTTTCACACCAGCAATTAATATCTTTTAAACAAGCCAAGCTCTAAGTACTCTCCTGATCCTTTATTCATCTTCATAACACCTTTATAACACCTTTATAACACCTTTTAACACCTTTTAACACCAGCTGATCATATCGTTCTTTCGATTAAATAACATGAAATATCGATATCATATCAGTTTCAAATGCTGATATAATTGTTATCAGTCGACACTTCTGTATGATACGCTAGAAATTGAATCGTGCTATCTTATCTCTGGTAACACCTTCGGCCCTCCTGCCTTCTTATACTCCTATAGCTTGAAAACAGGCATCCACCTTAATTAAAGCTACACATGATGTACATTCCACTGACACTATATAATATTTACCAATAACCCCCTGTCTATTTCAGAGTATGTTGAACACTACAGGAGTTAACGGCTTCCACAAGTGCTCACACTGCGAGAAAGCATTCGTCTCTGCTCCTTTCCTTGCTTCCCACCTGGAGAGACGACATGGTATTGTGCCTCAACCTGTACAGAATACTGAGTAAGTTCCCTTTTTTGTTCATGTTTTATTTTATTTTTGATTTAGTTAAAATGGGTGTTATTAATTTTATTGTTATCGGTGTAATATCTTAATTTCAATTGCTTTATGTTAAAATTACACAGTTTATTAAAGTCTATCAAAATTATAATACCCCATTATTATTAATTATGCAGCAAAGTATGGAGACATGTATCTAAATAATCCAGTCATTTATGCACATAATCGGCACCAAACCTGCAAATTCCTTGATACTTCTGGAACTTTGCACAGACCTTCACTAAGTTTTGAAATACCAAACAAAAACCCAGAGCAAACATTTTTTATCATGGGCATAACCCAGGGGGCCACACCCAATATTCGCGATGAGTTGTTATCTCAGCTTCTGAAAGTTCTAGAGACGTCTGGATGAACTTAAACGAAGCCGAATCTGCATATTATTTAAATTTAATTACAAGATTTTCATAATATTATGAATCTTTAACCTTCGAGAAAATCACTAAAAACCATTATGGGCGTGGCAGCGTGCCTAACTTTGGGTACGAGTATGACTGTATGATCGTAGAGACTTTCAGATGAGTGCAAACGAACCGCAACGCTTATTTTTAGAGAAAATAACAAAAAAAGGAAGCAGAGATGGCTATTTTCTACAATTTTGCTCTAATTGCCCAAACCTGTCGTTGTTTTGCATTTTGGAGAGAAATATCCGGATTGCACAAACTAATTTGATGATTGAAATGATTACATTTCAGTCTGGTTTTAAACCGTTGGTATAATATAGGGGCCCCCTTATATAACAGCAATAAAGTAACCCAAATTACCCTGTTAATCACTCGACAAGTCATTGTTAAATCCAAAATACTGCTCTCACTTCATCTTCATTAAAATCTAATTACATATTCTCATCAAATCGATTAATTAATCCACCTTTACATATCTCTCATTAAATTAGCTGAATACAGAGGTGCCGAGTGTAGAGTTTTAGAGTCTTTAAAGACTTGTTCAGGTATCGTTTTACGTCTCTTATTAGTAAAAAGAAGCTATCATGTTATACAGTCAGAGTTGCATGTGTCATAGAAAACTGCTAACATTTTTTGTGTGTTTTAAGCTCATCATAATATTTTGTCTGTGTTATAATAACGTAGGACATTAGAACATTAGTGTTCTAGCGAGTTGTTGTTAGTATGATATGGGATTACGTTTTGTCACAGTAGTTTGGTGTTTGCTTGTCCTTAGACCCGGAAATATTTGTGTTTTTGGTCTCATTTTTGTTTAGTTGGTGGACACGTACACATGGGGAAGAATAAATGGACAGATTGTTTGGTGGCAGGAGCTTCTGAAAGGAAAGTTCTAGTACCTAACGTTTCTATTATTAGTTACACGTACAAAGTATGACGGTCTCTTTTAGAGATTTCAAGAAGAAACACGTGTTTGTTGTAACACGTCCAGAAAATACATACTATTATAACTACCGAAATATAACGAACATTGTTGTCACGTTTCCAGACTAACTTAACTCCTAGATATTCAACCGAAGCAAATCTATTAAAGTATTAAGCAGTTTTTTCATAAGATCTCATGATCTTTTTCCAGTAATTTCCTTTCTCTTTCCTTTTTCCATTCCATACACCATTTCATTAACACACCACTAAAATCACGAGTATCCATTGCTATTTGCCATTTGCTAAGTAACACTCTCTGGTACACATTTAATTATTTAATTATAATTATTTAATTATAATTATGAGAACTATCCAATAGAAATGAAAGCTACTATTTGACTGAAACTTAACATTTTATTGTTTACAGGGACAAGTTGCGGATAGCAAATGAGGAGCTGGAAAAGGAGCTGCAGACCCTGAAGGAGAAGTACATGAGTCTAGAGGAGCAGCTGAAAGGAGCTCAGGTAAAATGGGGTCACTAATTGGGTCACTAATTGGGTCACTAATTGGGTCACTAATTGGGTCACTAATTGGGTCACTAATTGGGTCACATGACCAGGTTGTCGCTACATTAAAATCCACCATATTGTTCAATATCTTATGTCACTTTCAGTGGTCCATGTTTAAGTTTTATTCTGATTAAGAACACGATGTAAAAACCCAACTTCATGAGTCTGTAGTAATTCCCAAGTCTGGGCAATGTGAATTCCGCTTTGTCTAAAATGACCGACTGTCAATTTTCTGCCAACACTTGATGATTCACTAAACAAATTGATATTCATTTGACGGATATTATCTATAATTTGACATGTCGTCACCTTTCTTTCCCGCCAAAATTAGCACTGTGAAACTCATGTCTTCTTGATTTGGATAACAAGAGCTCTCGTGAATTTAGACATGACGTTTTCTTTCGCATTACAAGTGGTATATATAAACGTTTTAATAGTTTCAACACGACTATATACTTATGGCAAATAGTTTGAGGAAACGATGTAACAGAGTCGATATATTTTAATGTTGCCATGGGGTGGCAAGTCCCCATACATCGTAGTCCGGTAGTTTCATTGCGTATAAATATATAACTTAAATAGGGTATTTCAAACACTTTCGAAATACTACTACTACTATGGCGGAACTATGTCTGACATACGCCAGATAATCCCCTCCATATATCCCTGTCCCGCATCAGGGTTCGCAGTTCCTCTTTAGAGTTTGTCCCAACTTCCTTCAGTAACATAGACAAGTAGCTTTGTCTTGGTCGGCCTTGCTGTGCTCTACCGAAATAGGAAAGTCTATTAAAAGTTACTTTTTAATATTAACCATCGGGGTTACGCAAATCACCTGGTACGTTATGGTACGGTACTAAGTACAAATAATTTTAAAGTCTCGATCAAAGGTCCCGCGGTGGAGCTGTGAACTGTTAACGTTTTCATTAAACAATGTTTGAAATTGTGGTGTGAAAGTCACTGTCGGCATGGTGAACTTGCAGTTTTAAAAAATCAAAATATGTTCTGTAAAAATTGGGTACGTTTTGGTGGTCAACATTTATTCATTAGCTCCCAATTTCATGAAAACTGGCTGAAATTACTAAAATAACTGATAATTAATGATTGACTAAATCATTTCTTATTCACTTAATTATTTAACGAGTTAATTAATTGATTAATTAGCCGCTAATTTACAGGAGAGAGGAGCGAAGGCGGAGACACTGCGAGACTCAACATTACAACAGCAGATACAACAGGAAGTAGCTCACAAGACCTGGTCTAAGGAGACTGAGGAGAGATGTGCTCAGGAGATTGAGAAGGTAAGCTGATTTAATTTAGGTTACTTACTGGTTACTGAGATGGTTACTTACTGGTTACTTACTGGTTACTGAGCTGTTAGTATCATGATGATCATTTAATCGTTACAATTAATAGTCTGTTAGTCAATTTGATGCAATGATTCTTGGTTTGTTTGCCAGTAGATTGGCCGATAAGTTGATCAACTCATTCGTAGAGGATAATGGCTGTCAGGATTGCCTTCCATATTTTCCGAGAGAAAATTATGTTTTCTGTAAGTTGAGCACATTGAAGGGTCATTAAACAAGATTAAAAACTTTCAGACCTTTCTCATGGTTAAAACTGTCGAAAAAAGCAAGGAGACATTTGCCCATAAAAAACTAAAATGAGTTAGTACAAATCAAGAAAAAATTGGGGTATCTCACAAATTGGGTTGGCAAAGATCAAAAGAATAGGTTTGCGATGGTCATGAGATCGACAAATAGGCAAGGCCAAGGATGATCCTCGATATAATTCTTTTGCTCCTTGCTTTTTTTTCATTAATTAACCATGAGGAAGTGCTAAATACTAAGTGCTAAGTGCTAAATGCTAAGTGCTAAGTGCTAAGTTCCAGCACAGTCTGAAGGTTTGCAGACTGTGTACGTAAACGACTGGACTATCAATGTTTTACTAGAGAAGATTCTGTTGATTCTGTAACCTTTATATGTCACGTGGTACACCATGCTGTATCACGTCATCTTAACATGACCACCGTCAGTCGTCACCGTACAGCATTACCAATACTAACATCCCAGTTATTTGAGGAATTCTCCTATAGCCGCATGCTTTGACCTTACTACCCGTTACGTACGCTAAATCTTTGATTAATGTGCGTAAAGATGCTAATTATAAATTAACCCTTGCTAGCATATATTGCTTACATTTCCGGCGAAACGTTACTTTCACGAACAGATCTTAAGCGTATAATTGAATAGTATCATGCGAGAAGAGCAGAGTATTCTTCATTAGTTAATTGACTGGGTTTAATTACTGTGTCATTAGAAGTAAGTTTCAATTACCATGTCACTGTACTAATCTACTATTTATAACGGAATAATTCTGCTTCCTGTACAGAATTCCGACATAGTTTTACATGTCTTTACTCAGAAGCAGTTACGATATGTCAACGTTATATGCCAAATTTAAATGAACCATGAAGATTTGGTTTTCCTGGAATGCTTTTACTTGATACAAATCGAAACATTCTTGAAGTTGGGGTATTTTTTGCAAATATTCACGTTGAATGTTCAATTCACACTTCAACAGTTCAACAGTTCAACACAAAATCTGATAGTTAAATACTATCATCAACTGTTGTCTGCTATCATCAACTAAAGTCTTAAAGTCTACTTAGATCGTTGACTATGGTCTAGACTGTTCATGTTATCAACTATAGTGGGTATATAGTCTATAGTCTATTTTCATGGGCTCAATTCTATTTACACAACTGGCAGTACATTATATACTCAACTTAGTCAAGTAGGGATGTAATGTGTATTGATAAATTTATCATCGTCAAAAACCTGTATCTAGATTTAAAATTCTTCCGCATATAATAAGTCGTATTCCAAATCTATTTTAATGAATTGTACCTGTCCACATAAACCAACCAGACTATTTATAAACGGAATAATTTCTATATGAGGCATATTTCTTAGAAAATAAAAGCTGTATTCCGTGCAAACGTAAGCAACTGGCTTAAAATTAAAGCACACTTCAGAAATGAGTCGGAAATATGTTGACGTATTAATGAGTTTCCTGGATTCGTTACGTGTCGTATTTTAAGTATTGATATTACGGTCTTTTATTATGCTAATGATGCGTTTCCCGCTCAGGTTAAGGAAATCTATCTGAAAGAGGCATCTGACGCGCTTGAAGAGAAACGAATAGCCGAGCTAGCTTTGGTAGAGGCAAAGAAAGGTAGGTGAAATTGGAAGAGATTCAAAACAGATACCAAACTGTATAATATAATAGTATAATGTAAAAAGGAAATCATATCAACATTGTGATAAAATATTATAGAAACCAAAACAATTAACAGTAAGAATACGTACATAACAAGTTTAATGAAGAATATAATACGAACTGGTATAAACATACGACCTAAAAAAAAGTTACCAAACAATCTTGTTCTAGACATATCATTTATTATAATCATGCAGTAAGAACTACCCGGCCCGATCACATGGTGGTTTTTGAACCAACCATCATGAGTTATATTCTGATCTGGTGATTTAAACTTCTAGTGATATGATCTGTTTGCGAAGTTTGACAACTAACAGTTTTAATATAGACTGCCTCATATTTATATAACTTCACGTCGCTGTTTTTCCATTTTTTTGAGGAAACACAAACCCTTCGACTAATGTTCGAAGTTCTTTTTCAACATCAGGGTTAACCACAATAACTACCAAACACGCTACCACTGCCACTATGATGCAGAGCAGTATCGGTAGAAATATTGAGTTCGTTTTTGGTACTTCACGCTGGTCAGGGATGGCAGTTATTTCGTCCGCTTTTGTTCCATAATTGGATCCATCTGACTTATCATCCACTTCTGTTCCATGATTGGATGGTTCTGTTTCATGGTTGGATGGTTCTGTTTCATGGTTGGATGGTTCTGTTCCATGGTTGGATGGTTCTGTTTCATGGTTGGATGGTTCTGTTCCATGGTTGCATCCATCTGACCTATCTTCCTGATTAGTATCGCTAACACAATCAGTTTTCTCAAGTGGAGTAATAGTCGATACTCTCCGAGCTTTGAACGTTTGAAAGGTGTCGTTGGTTTTCATCTTCTCACCGATGGCATAGAATGCTTTCCGTTTTGCATGAAAATCAACATTTTCTGGGTCCTCTACTAAGAGGTGTTTAGTTGCTTCTTCTGCTTCTTCGCTGATATTTGGGTTGTTCGATTTGGACGGGATGAAGGATAACCTTTTGGTTTCCCTGAAAAAGATAAAGCGTTAGGTCTATCGTCTATTGATTTAATTCATTTATTTAATATTAAACAGTTTAATTAAGCTAATTAAGTAATCACACACCCTTCAAGTTTGTTGAGAAGCTCGGTCAGTTCGTTCATCTTATCGTCCTGCAACTTCATGCTTGAACCAAACCTCTCCGTCATCTCGTCTGCGTGCTCTGCAAACTCCGATATAGCCTGAGTTTCTTCCTTCCTACGAGGGAATTATTACAATTTGTTCGCATTTATAGTAGACGATATTCTGTAGGTGAACATTTAAACAGTCGGTTGATCACTGCATTTAGATGCTAGAAATTTTAGCATATTATACTGTAGAATTTTCAGTTAACGCTTAAACCGAATCTTGTAAATTTGTTTATACTTTAAAGTGACAAATATTTCCGGAAACGGCCTACATAAGCAGTTCTTCGGCGGTTTAAAGGCTAAAATATTTTAGTTACCATTTGTCGAGAAGAGACCGGGCTTTATCGTCGATGTCTTCTAGCCGTTCAATTAAATCAACCACAAAATTTGTAACCTGAATGAGGTGGAAAGTTATAAATAAACTTTAACCATAATTTTGAATATATATCAGCTCGTAAGACGTAAATACAGCTCGTAAATACAGCTCGTAAATACAGCTCGTAAATACAGCTCGTAAATACAGCTCGTAAATACAGCTCGTAAATACATGAAGTTTATTGGAGAACGGAACTTTCTTCTGCAATAATTCTGCTAGAAGTCTAACCTGCAATATTCTGTTGTTAGCCTCCTCAGTCTGTGCCGCTAGATTCTGTAACGTTTCCTCTAACATCGCCACATCCACCCCCATGTTACCAACTTGATCCCTAATTAGAAGACAAAAAACAGTGAAATTCTGGAGTCAGGATGATTATAATTTGAACCTTAAACAGATTTGATCTAATCTCAATAGCTAAAAACCTTTTTAAATGCAATTTCTTAAATTCTTGGTTTACATCTAATAAATTTCACTTTTTACTTCAATTTGGTTGACCATTTTCGTTACCGTGAGTCGAAGCAAAATCTCCACGAAACTTGAATCAAACGAGTAAACCAAATATAAGATTTTCACAATTATATACAGTTTAGTATGTCTTGTTATGTTGAATTTTTAAGTCGAAACTCCATGTTGATTGTTAAAACTTGAATCTATGCCAGCCTACTACAAACGAATTATGTTCACATACTTTAAATTCCGATCGAATCACTATGATTCAAATTGAATACCTTAGATGTTGTAACAGTAGCTTTGTACTTATAGTTAGTAATTATTACTTACACATGACCAGAAATTTGAATATGTGATCACAGCGAGGCATGATACCAAAGTATGTCTAAAAAAGGCCAAATACGCTTACCGAGAAGTGACCGGTGCCGTGGGTTCTGGGCCATTCAAATTCATCAAAGTCTATCATGGTTTCAATTTATCAAAACCCTAAATTGCTGCAACATTCAAGTTTCTGGCAAAAGATTCGACGTAAAGTAAAATTTCAAAAACGTGATAATTTATTCTTGAAAATTTTCGTAGAAAACAACCTCTCAAACATCGTAACAAATTCTTACAACTATAACAAATTTCAAACGGATAGAATTGCAATAGAAATGGAAAATAACTTGCTCCTTCATAAAATTTTCACCACTGCGAACACGATTCCGAAAGTTTACAACTGCTCCAATAACAAACGAACTAATAAAATAATATTTGTTCCTTATCTCCATTCCACAACAATTTGCTTGCATTCAGCAGTTTTTTTACTGCAGGGCACCCAGCTTCAAGCGGGTATGTGCTATTCGATTACAATAGCATCTTATATCGGTATAATGTTACATTTTATAAACTCTTTTCTAAACCGTGTAAAAATATGTGTAAATTTGATTCCTACTGCCCCGTATCTCATATCTTACTACCTCAATATCTTTCGGCCCCGTAGTAAAAACTTTGCCTTTGAGAATGCAGGAGTATCATCATAATAATGCATTAGATTGCATTGGTCGCTGCTGCAAGTTGATTGGTTGACCAGTGTCACGTGTCAAAACAAACGTTCTCGTAAGTGTTATAATTGCTGAGGACACCAGATATGATGCAATGTTTTTACCTGCACGCCCGGAAAATGTTTCGCATGATATTTATCAGGGTTTTTAGACCACAAACTCGTATGTTTGTGTCCCAAATAAGAAGTAACCCAATTTAGTCATCAATGTACTCCCCACGTCCCGAATGATATAATTTATTATGCATATCTACATACTAATTCAGTCACATACATATTTTGCCACTTACAAATTAAGCTAAACACAAATTGTGTACACTATTGCATATACAAATTATGTCATAGTCAAGTACTAAGGGAATGCTACAATCCTCCACTTTACTTCCAACTATGCTAATAAGCTAAACACTACAGAAAGATTACTATCGCTACTGACATTCTACACCAAAAGATAGCTGTTATGTACACTTTACCGCAATCTAGCTTAATGGGAACGATTATAGATTATGAGCTGGATCTAAGAAGATAAATCACTTTTTAATTGGCTAATGAATCTCACAAAATACGCTAAATAATGACCTAATTAGATGCTAATTAATTACTCAATTACCGAAGTGGTTGAAGGAGTTTAGCCGTCGTTGCTCCGATCTGATCGTTGATATGATCGTCGCTTATCTCTTCTGAAAAATCTGAGGAGAGCAGTCGGTTAAAAGTTATTTGTTTTGATCAGAACCTATAATCAGTTTTCGATTGCGAGGATTAAAATGATTCGTAATAGTAATGTTTTTAATAGCGATAATTCTTCTGACCGGCCTCGCCTTATATTCTCTCATTGAGTGCACTAGCATTGCGTGTAAGATCTTGTCACTGATCCAGGTAGTACACACTACAGTGTAATGACTACACGTTATAACACTACAACAGTTATACTATGCTTGCTAAAATGCTGCATCTTAAGTTTTCAAACATTCGAATATGTGCATCAACTTGATTTATTAAAGTGACGTTTTACGAAGCATGTCCCTCCCCAAAACAATGTGTTTGATTGTTTAATAAGTTAAGTGTGATTGTTAAAATTACGCTTATAATAGCACTCACATTATCCACATGATCGCCTCTCAAAGAAGGTATTTTGGGATCGTCAATAACAGCATACTGATCACGGGATATCACCAGTTTAATACATAGTGCCATCTTAATGCGACTATGATAATTTATCTAAATAAAATGAGAGAAGATAGTTACACTAATAACCACCCACATGGAATTACGAGTAATCTAGTACCTTTCCGACTGTCAGAGTATATGTGTTAGAATAAGGAGTATAGTTGTGTTTGCATGTAAATACTGTTCAATTATTTGGCTTGAACTATCTTAAATTACATATGAAAAATGAGTATTGTTGGTCGTTCATTAAAGCTAATAAAATCAATTATTTCCATAGAAATATACTTGCACGTAATGAATTGTGCTGCATATTTCTTAGTCTTAAATAAAGGTGTCTGAATGTTACAGATAATCACGTAAAGAAAAGCGGCTTAATAAAATGTTTCCACCTTTAAACATTAACAATAAATGTTTCTAGCAGTGACCAGGAATGTTTATAACAGTGACCAAGAATGTTTCTAACAGTGACTAGGAATGTTTCTAACAGTGACCAGGAATGACTGCAAAACACGTTTAACATTCCGCATCCTTGCACCTGGAATTCCGGACACGCTCAGTGTTGTTTTTAACATTCTCGGGGATCAACTTCAAATGATAAAACTATGGAAACTGCTGTTTTCTGACAAAAACCTTGTTCCTCAAAACCTTTGATTATCGAGTGGCCTGTAAGCGCTTTTATAAGAAAACGTCAGAAAAGCACCCTGACCCCACACTTACCGTCATCTAGATTACCAAGGTTCTCAGCGGCGGAGAACCGTCGCATTATACTGTGAACATCCCCTCCAGCTCTGCTATCTTGACCGATACTCTGAGGAAATTACAATGATTTAATAATTACAATCTCTCACCCAGTACAGATGTTATCTTATAGTTATAAAATATATATCAAACAAATATCTCAAGTCTTCGAATCGAGGAAATTTTAACGAATGATAATTGCAGTATGCAATAATATTTTGTAAGTTGATATTTGATAACGATGATGTCATATTCTCAAACTGAGTTCATGAGTCTAGATTTAGGGAAAAGCGATCTCCTCTTTTAGTACAGTTCCTGCATCATATTTCTCTTATCGTTGTTTTGTTATGAGGAATGTTGGCATCCTGCCCAGTTTATTAAGGAATGTTGGCATCTTTCCCAGTTTATTAACCGGTTAGCACAAAATGTAAACGGATTCTGCCGAATTCCTTTCCTAAAAATCGCGTCCAAAAATAAAACGCTAAAATTGTGATATTTTTACTTGCCTTGAGCTGCCTAATTGAGTGCTGATCTATCATAAGTGGCATCAATCAACTCCCCAACATTAACAACGAAAAAAGCTCGCACTATTTAAGTTACCTGACCAATCACCGAAAATAGCCATCTAGCGAGCCACAGCAATTACCTAATTACCTAATTACCTAATAGCAATTACCTAATAGCCTTACATACCTGTACCAGCTACCACTACAACTACAACCAGCTTACAAATTAGGCGATCAAAAATAGACTAATCAGTTCGGCTGGCCACTGTTGTGTTACTAGGCTTACAGATGATAAGATTTCACAGCGCTTTATTAACGATATCTGACAGATTTGGGTGATTATGATTGTAGCTCGGATACTTGATTAGAGATTAGAGATGTATGATTGGGGGTCGTTATCTTTTGTAAGGGAGGCTGATTGTGAGGGGTGTTTAACTTGCTGCGTTATAATTGAAGTGAGATCTCATTTATAATTGATTGCTGCATTGTAAATCTCTATCAGGCATCAGGCGTGTGGCCCGTGGGGATGATAATGTAACGCGCAAAATGTCTACAATGGTTGTATCTCATGCGGGCGGACGAGTAATCTACAATTCCCAGAATAATCATTTCATTAAATGACCATATAAGGTAATGTCAAGGGAACCACACCCGGCTGGTGTCTGTCTCGGTATTTTCATGTGTGACGTGAGAGCTGTCTAGAGGTCACGTGAGAGCCGTCTAGAGGCTGGTGCTTGGCCACGTGATCAACAGTCTCCTTTTCAGAATAACACTGCTTCTCCTTACACATGTAATGCTCACATAATATATATAATATTATTGTGTCGTATGTGACATGGTTTAGTACCAGTATACAAGAATACAACCGTTTTCTAGATGAGGGTGGCCGTGATAAGCGTCATGGTAGCTCTAGCTAGTAACTCTTAACTCCTTAGTAATTAAGATAGTGAGTAATAGTGGGGTGGAGATTAATGTATTGCTCGAAAATTGGAGCACAGAAGAGAGGTCAGCAGGAGATTAGGAGAAACAGATAACACAGTTATTTGAGTCTTTACAAGTTATCGCCTCCCCGCTACGTCTCAACACTAACCTCGCTTGAGTCAGCATCACGGAGTGTCATCTTCCTCTCTGTTCAGATTCTAGTGTAGAAGATGATAAGGCACCTACTATAGTTCAGTAGAAACTATTCTGTGAAACTGTCTGGTAAACGGTCAACCCTCTGTAAATCTTATCCGTGATATATTATACTTTCATCTTACTATCTTTCATGAGCTACAGAGAAAAATTCGTTAAAACCGGTGATCATAAACTTGGGGTTATACATACTTTGACAGTAAAGAAGAAGGAATTACAAATTTGCAAATTATGGTTAAAATATACAAATATGCGAATTAAAGTTCACGTGTTTATAAGGGGCACATGGCTGATGTATCAAAAAACGCTCTTTATTAAGGGCTCTTGTATAACAAATGTTTTAATAGCACAAATTTCGCTACAATTAGAAAAATCTAAACACAAGACTGACCAGAAAACAGCAAATCGCACGTAGAAACTACGACTAATCTACCATTTTGTGGTTCAACATTTCTCAACTACAATATAAACGAATTGTTTGCTCTCCACTCTCTCGAGTATTCAGCATGTCAGCAAGCTGCACTGATCCTCTGCTTGACACTCTCACAGTAAGTTCCCAGGAACTATGAAACTATCAGATGTTGTTGGAGTGGAGGGGCGCAGAAATGTGTTTGTGTAAAAATGCTAAATCTGCATATAACTATATAATATATCACATTGTGGCAGATAAATTGTACGGAAATGTGGGCATAGAGGAAGCAAAAGGTGTAACATAATATTATACAGAGTTGTGGAAAATGAATACATTTTACTAAAGAAGAGGAAAGGAGGAAGATTATATAATATGAGAAAATGCTCGGTGTCGGACAGCAAAATATTACTCGTAGTCAACTTTCCCTTCAAAATTTTGTATGAAATATCAACATCGGGTCCGCCAAATTCTGTCCTCAATGGTATGCCTGGTAAGTGGTATACACTCATGTAAATGAATTGTAATACCATACACAATGGGATCGCACCGCTCTAAGATAAAACAGATTAGAAAACACCCTCATATCTTACACACCTACGTCTATATGTTACTGTAACTCTATTATCTGTATAAATATTCCTATTGTTCGTACTGGGTGCCTTTCTCTGGGTGTAAACTATCAGATCAAACACAACACGTACTGGGTGCGTTTCTCTGGGTGTACACTATCAGATCAAACACTACTGGGTAAATACATCTCATGGAGATGTAGGTATAATATAATATAATAATACAAATCAGTAATGATATAATTAGTATTATATTTTATTAATAAAATAATATTTGATAGCTCTTACACTACTGGGTGAACAAATAAAATCAAAAAATAATGATACAATATATTAAGATCATCAAAAATGTTCATACAAATATTTAATAATTTAAATTATTACTTCATAAAGTTAATTTTAATGCCCATTTTATAAAGACGTGGATATAATAGCTCTAATTGTGAATATAACGGTAGAACGATACAACACAATAACGATCATAATACTACGAAATAACGAATACTACAGAAAAAGTACAAGAATACCAAGAATAAGACACCGTCTAGCTACAAGGAAATAGAAATGCCCCTATCACACATTATACTGGCACTGATATTACACTTATAGTCTACTCAAGGTTAATAATAATATAACGTTAGATCACCGGTAGGTATATCATTACATAGCGGTTTTATATCGACTGGTTACTGATTTCCTTTTTGACGGCTGTGAGTGAGCCCAGTACTTTAATTTATATACTTTTTCTTTTCTTTTCAGCTGATATATTTCAGTTTGCATCAACTCGTTTAACAATTCCGCTGTAATTCAGATATTTGCGTCTAATTGGTCAACTCAGGTTTTGTTATTGGTGTTTTACCTTTGCATAGAAACATTAAGCACGTTCCCATAGAGATTATTTCTCATTAAGATTGTGGTAATGTTTTAAGCAGCCCTGATACTCTATCTCAGCGTCTCTCTTACTTTTACAAAATACAAACTAACGACTGTAAATTTAATACTTACGTACAGTAGGCAAAATAGTACGTACTGTATGTCGCTGGATCATGTCGAGTCTTCTAATTCGGATGTGGTGGTTAATTTTAGAGTGGTTAATTAATTAATATTAGAATATTACTGTCGCTGATATAATAATTGTACAAAGCTGAGATGTTAACAAAATCAGATTAATTTGGAGTAGAATTATAACCCTCTTGATATTTATCTAGAGAGCTACAGTGGAATTTCTCATAGAAATTATAGAGCGTTTCTAAGTTAAATTACAGTATTTTCTGAATTTGGAATAAATATTTTATTATTACGCTAATGACCTGTTCCCACGCTTCCCAGGTTACAAATATTTGTTTCTTGGCTTCCTGCCATAATTTGTACCAAGAGTTATAAGTCATCGTAATACTATGACAATAGTAAGAATACATTGTAACTATTCCCAAAATATTTAACAAAAAAGTCTGAAGAGAAATTCTTTACTTCTTGGAAAGGTTTCCTTAAGGCTTGTTCACTGTAAGTGTATACAGGGTATACATTTACAATGTTAATATGTTAAGAGTAGATATTCTATAAATACATAAATGAGTTCAAGTTATTGTAATACTCGTTTCCTAGCAACCAAAATAGTACTTTTTGTCACATGCCATCGAGTCAATAAGAGGAGTGGAAGTGGACCTACCAGATGTTTGTTCAATCACCCACAGGAAATCATGTTAGAGATTTTTTTAATTATAGGGTATTACCTAATAGGACTCGTTTATCGACTATTATCAATTGTACATTACAGTTGGTATTCTTCCAGGATATTATTGTATTGAAGTATTATTGAGCCAAGATACTTCAATAAAATTGTTGGACACTAGATGGCGCAGCTTTGAAGAGTCAGATAGTACATATAATATGTACTATCAACTTATCAAGATGTTATCTTGCCTTATAGAAGATTCTAAAAAGGAATAATTGTTGATGAGAGAATAGAGAAATGGGTTAAAAACATTGAGCACCGACATTGAGTTATCTTGGATAGACAGAAATCATCACGTACAAGTACACTGTACTTACTGTAAAGGAGCCCTCATGCAGCAATCAAAACCCACTTTGCTCTTGAATCGACGTACTTTTAACGTTCAAGATTCCAAATCACCCTACAAGACAATGCTTCCCTGACGAGTTATTAAAAACTGTTTTGGTCACGTGACATACAACCACAGCTGCACTCTCAATACACTGGACCAAGTACAGTTCTTTGTAATTGAAGTGTGATCACGAGGTGTTCACGTGGTTAATAGGCCGTGGTATGTAGTAGTAGTAGTAGTAGTAAACCCGCGATGGGGTGGCATGTGCCTCAATAAAAATATTACAATCATTTATTATTATATCAATTTATCGTTAAATATTTCAAAAATATCAATAACGTATGGTTGATCCTTCACACTTGGTAAAATATATAAAAATAAAGTTAATCTACACTAAAGAATAAATAATCTATATTATATAAATCAACAATATTAACTCCCCATCTTCTTGTAGTCATTTATCAAAGCGGTAGAAATCCAAGTAATTTTAGTACGCGGTGCGCAAGGAATTTCGTTTTAAAATATGTGTAGGCAAGATAAGCCTAAGTGTGGCAGTGAAAATTGAAAATAAGTTGCAGAATAAATTGCAGTGACTGACTGTCAAATGCATTATCGCAGTTCATTTATTTGACTGCACTAACGTTTAGGATTCTTACAGCTGTTATATTTTGCTAATATTTTGTTTAAAAGTTGTAAAGGACAAAGTTCTTGTCCGTCCACGAAAGGTTTTCTAGGTCAAGTTTTTGTTTGTCCTGTAAGTAACGTACAATGTTGTCCTTGTATGAATTAATAAACTTATCTTGTAACTTAGGTACGTTGAAGGGAAGGATTTTATTTATTTCGTTTATCGTGTTGTTATATAATCGTGGTCCTACGTTAGAGATGCTATAATCGGTGATCCGTAATCTGTTGAACTTAATTTCAAAATACTTTGGATTTCTCCTTTCCGTTTGTCTAAGCGGTGATTTTTCAAATATACTACAGATACTCGATGGTGCTACTCCCATATAAACCTTGTGCATCAAAGTTAGACAGCTTTTAGCAATGAGATTAGGAAGAGCTAAAATTCCTATTTTGTTGAAGATGGATTTTGTGTGAGATGGTAGTTTACGTTTTTCTTTGTCGTAAAAATAGTTATGATATTCTGAATCAGTGGCGCGAATAGCTTTCTTTTGAGCAGAGAATAAAGACTGAATGGAATTTAAAGATTTAGTACCCCAAACAGTAGCGCAGTAATACAGGTGAGATTGAATTAAACTATTGTATAGCATTTTTTGAGCTTTATTCGGAATGGAACTTTTAAGTTTCATCATTACGCCTGCATTTCTGGATATTTTAGTCTTTAACTGTTTAATGTGCTGGCTCCAGCTAAGTTTTGAGTCAATAATGACACCTAAAAATCGTTCATGTTCACTTTTCACTAGTCGCTGTCCTTCTATACTAATATTTATATCCTCTGGTAATCTGTTAGTGAATATCATGTATTTAGTTTTTCCTACATTAAGTTTAAGACCGTTGTTTTTAACCCATGTCTGTACAGTATTTAAAACTCTGTTTGCACGCATGTTCAGTTCAGTGTACGTGTCGGCAGAAACGATGATGTTTGCATCATCAGCGAAGAAAATATAATGGGCTATATCGCTTACATTTGCAAGGTCGTTTATGTAAATAATGAACAATATAGGACCAAGAATGGACCCTTGAGGAACTCCATGTTCCAATCCCATTTTTTCTGAACTGCAACCGTTGACGTGAACATACTGTTTCCGGTTAGTTAGATAAGACTCAAACCAGGATAAGCTAAGGCCTCTTACACCATAGTGCTCCAGCTTATGTAGCAGTATCTCACTGTCTACTAGGTCAAACGCCTTGGAGAAGTCAAGAAGCAGTAATGCTGACACTTGCTTCCTTTCTAGAGCTTTATGTAAGTTAAACTGAGCTTCAAGCAACGCATGTTCACAACTGTGACCCGATCTAAAACCAAATTGCGACGCATATAGAATATTACGTGATTTTAGGTGCTTTACTAAACGTGCATGCATTATTTTTTCGAATATCTTTGAGAAGCAGGACAAAA